AGGTGAAGAATATTTTAATTTCGCAAAACCCCAGGAATAGCTTTTGAAAACCACAAACTTAATTTGACAGAAGTGGGTCTCTACGAAACTTCCGTAAATCAAGAGTGAAATTGCGTACTGTGAGGTCTGTGAACAATTTTTAAAAACAAAATATTCAACTTAAAGAATATTGTATATTTCGCTTGGACCATATTTCGAAATGAATATACATCACAAATAAAATGGTAGATCTGCCAAGGTTTTCCTTTTATTTTTTTTTTGTCCATTATTTATCTCATTTTGAATTTTTGACGGATAGGAACTCCCATATTTTTCCGGCGAAACAACTTCATAAGACATGTAGGAGGACTGAGGTAACAACTAAAAATGACTCATGAATATGGCGACCTCTTAAGGCATCCGCTATTGCTTCTAACGGGGCTTCGTGCCAGCTTTAAATATTTTTAGCGTCTACTAATGCAAAAACAGCAGAAAATATATGTTAACCGGGTGAAAGTTCAACACAAATATCAGCCTCAGGAAAAATTTTGCTTTTTCTGCCTCTATATACCGAGCAGAGGTAAATTTTGCTAATCAGTCCGTCAAGCAAAATCTACAACCAAAAATATTTTAAGTTTTTTTTCTTCAGGAAAGCGGCTGTACTCATGATGAAGTCAGTTGGGGGAAAATTCCACCATAGTTTGATAGTGCCGCAAAAAAAATTGTCCTCATCGATAACGACGCAAAATTTGCCTAAAACATGGTATAGGAGGTAGAAGTGCACTCAGTAAGAACGTCTCTTATTAAATGCACACAAAAATTTTTATTATTCTTGCCAGAATTTCATGAAATTGTCAGAATAATAATCTTTTTACAGTCTCCGTGTTCAAACAAGTGTCTCAATTTTTAGAAGTGCAGGTTAAAGATCACATGATAACAATTTTTCGAACTTTGCATTAAAGCTGTACTTATACTGGCGACAGCTTGGATCAAATTGCGCCACAGATTTATAACATAGCACATTAATATCAAGTCATATCGACGTCTTTAAGAGCTTTGGAGTGTCTGTCGATATTTCTGTATTTGATGTTGAGGGCTACCTGACTACAATACGTCATAAATGGACGGATATAGAACTTGGCACCTCGCTAAAATATATTGCCAAATATTATGGATAGTTGTACAATTTTTTCTCACACATACCCAGATATTAAAGTAGTGGAAAATTAATTCTTTTTATTGTCTAATAAAAAAAAAAAAACCACGGTCGTCTTAAGCTTTGAAGTATTCAGTGTACTTGCATCCGGCCCTCGGCAGGATTTGTTTTCGTTTCGGCTTCTGAAACTATATCTTCATCGTTAAAAATATTTATTTTTAAACTGATTCGCTGGCCTGGCACACAATTCTACATGCCTTTTTTTTAGAGGTTATGAAGTCGTTCATCTTTGAAATATTGGAAGTGTTGTGTGTTAAGAAACGGTCATTTGAATCAAAGAGTCAACAGGAGACAGAAAAAACACTTTAAAAGTCATTTGTCTGAGTGGAATGTTGTTCAGAGGGCAAACCAATTAAAACAATATCACTGAAGCGGTGGCCAAAGTCATGGAGAGGTTAGGCTTGGGAAACAAGGTCCGTTAGATTTTTACGAGGGTTATCAATGAAACTGTAAGATCAATAAATAAAATAATGTGTTGTCCAGCTTAGAAATCTTCACAGAACAAATAAAACGACCACAGAGCGCTTTTCTCGACTATTGGCTGAATAGCACTTTTAAAAATTCGTGATGTGGATAATGGTAAATATCTTTAACGGAGAAGATATAGTTCCAACATAACGTTAATTGTAAAGCACTCATTAAGTATACCACTCGTTTGGAACATTTAAAAAAAAATTACAACATTAGCGATATTGAGTGAACTTTTCAGAAATTTGTATTGAATTACGCGCTCTGATGCTCAACCGCTGACCACAGAGGCTGTGCGCGGCGAAAAATCATAATTCTCCATTTCCTTACCGAGCTTTAAGTTAACCATCTTTTTTACTTTGCTTTAAGAGGTAGTTGGATATAACGGTGGCGAATGGTAAAATCCGAGTCTGGCGAGCATAGTGGCCGCGAGGCCGTTGTTTGAAAATCCGAGACTTAAGAGTAAACAACTTTAGCCATGAATTACAGATTATATTTAACCCCAGCTGGATTTCCGATGTGGTTTCCCCCGGACATGGTCGAATTAAGCCCTGATTCGACACACACAGGAAAACCAGGGGTAGATATTAAACGAGTCTCGCAAAATATTTTCACGATCTCGAAACCTCTTTATAAAAATTTCATGAGTCTCGAGGTTCGTATTTTCTATCATAGTTCCCAAGATCCAGGGTTTCTGAGAAACAACTGTTCTAGTTTAGCTAGGATCGACTTTGTTGGTGGCAAAATTCTGTTTAAGATCGATGTTGAGAGACAAAATTGAAAGGGCGAAATTGATAGTTCGTATAGGCGAGCGGATGCCGTTTTCCAGACTGCACCGCTAAAGCAACAGAGGTAAAAGGAGATTTATGGATAATCCTATCTACAGGGGTCTCACCAAATCAAACGACCAGGAGAGTCACAGCTAAGATGATTCTTCATGTTGTAGACCACGACACGCTAAATCAAGACCTCTGAAGTCTCGTGTTTATCGTGTCATGCGAACAGAGCGAAGGCCTGTTGTTTACTGTTTCCTGAGTGGAACTAATACAATATTGTTAAGTTACAGTTGTAAGAATGAGAGAAAAAGGTCAAAAACCAAGTCCTACACATAGAAACGACAGTAATTGCTAACAACTTCCAAGACAGATAATCTTTTGAGTCCGTGATGCCGTGAAGAGGCCAGGTCACGAAATTTGCTATGCTCTATTCTCTGTTCAAACTTTCGCCGAAACCACCATTTGTACCATGAATATTTAACATATGCAACCGAGCTTGTCTTAGATTTTGCACGTTGACCTTCTTGAGACTTCGTGTCTTGTTTTGCTCTAATCTTGTATAACACTTGGAGCACGATATCATTGCATGACAATATTGGCTAATCTAATACCTGGTAAAAGTAGTTGTTGCATAACAAATAGTCACGAGTGTTCGCACAAGCGACCTGGATAATTTCCATAGTGACCAGAAACGTGCTGGTAAGTTACGTAAGCAACTTATGGCACCCTAAAACTTTTACCTTTGAACTCGCTCACGTGCCGTTTAAGGGTCAGCATTGCGATATTATACGAGTAAGTAGTAGATAGTGTTGAGCTGTGATTTTGTAAATCTTATGACTTGAATGATGCGAACTGTTCCTTGGTCGAGCTTAGCGTGCATTTTGGTAAACAATCAGCCGGGAGCCAGTCGCTGACATAGAGTGTTAGCAAACCGGGACGCGAACCGACCCAACTAAAACGTTTTCATTGGGGGAATACAAATCCTTTTCACCAAAGTCTACCGTCCGCTACAGTTTCATAGAGAAAAATTTTTTTGAGAAACTTCGAGAATTTTGTCAATTTTCAAAAGGATCGAGGAAACATTTACACGAAAGCCAGTAACATCAGACTAGTTTACGAAGAGTTTTTATGCATATGCGATACACTTCTCCTTCAGACGAGAAAATATGACACCACATTGCTAATATTTTGATAAAGAAATACCTTTTTTAAAAATTTTGGCCATACACAAGTGCTTCAGCCCTGTAGACTGTTAATCATTCTGTAACGTTATTCCCGCAGCCTCAGATAAGATGGCACGGTGAGAGACGGGCATAAGTCCCAAAGAAAGAGTGGGCAAGTTTGTAAAGAAACTGTGGAGCTGCATCGGTGGGGGTTTTGCAAGATAATGTGGGTTTATGAACCGAATGTGTATAACTGCAATTTGGCCATTGTGTCGAGTTTCTAAAGCTGTTTAGAGTGTTACCCTTCGTCAGAGCGAATTTTTAGACACTAAACACTGATTTACGTCAAAATCTCTAATTATCAGTGTTTAAAGGCAGTGCAAGAGCAAATTGAAGCGTTATAATTTATGCTATTTCCAAGCTACAATCAATGTTGTCGGGGGGGGAAGATCGCCACCGGCATCGACACACTTTCGGAGGGAGACTGGGGACTAAGCAACACAGCTGAAACGTTCATTATGTGGAAATCGGTAAAAGGAAACAATTAAAAAGAAGGAAAAGGAAAGCTCGTTACTTTTCGAGCACCAAGCTTAGTTAAATTATACGTGTGTACGGAATTACGAATATAACATTTTGCTGTGAGCTTTATCAACAAAGTTATACGTCTTTTCAGGAAGCCATTACTTGAGTAATGGGCTCCTGGTCTTTTTTAACCCTGGTGACTTGTTAGCTTCCATGATTTTTTTTAACTGTTTGAGACAACTTGGCTCTGACAGCCTAAATTCACGCCACCCAGCCCCCCATCGCCCGCCATTACAACGTTCGCACATGCGCAGACGTTACCGTGAACCTGCAGGCACAGGCCAAGAGATTCAGAGTCTCACCTAAACTGACGACAAAAATGCTGACCATCTGTCTTTGACCTGTTGAATTAATCAATGTAAAAATAATTATGTTTTTATCTTCCGGCTGAATAAGAGAGTGGGCAGAGTTGAAATGGAAATTGGCCCATGAACCCAAAATCTATCTACTTCATTTCCTGAATCAAGAAAAAAAATTCTGATCAAGTTACGTGTTTTTCGCACCAGTCACTCTAAATAGCTTGTTTAAGAAGGCCAAAATAATGCTCATGCGCACAAGACTAGCGAAAGTCGGCGGTGCTCACGCCCCCCTCAGTTCAAGGACCTCTTCAAGAGATTCTTATGTCGTTGTATGGATCTTGCAACCACTGATGTATCTTGACTGGATAAGTTTCCTATTCCGCTTCACTTTCCTTCTTGCAGCACCACAGATCTCGTTTGACTTCTGGACGTGTTAGACGGTTTCCATTTATATTTCCGGCCGAGTCAACGATATTATAAATTGTCGTAGACAGGCAAGAAAAGCAAAAGTTTGGCCATGAATCCGAACGAAAAAAGACGAGATTGCGTACCATACAGTGCGAACCGAGAAAACGAGGTTAGTAGGAGATTTATCATATCTTTGGGTTCAGAAAGGGGGAGAATAATTCGATTCTTACAAACCATTTTGAATTAAGCTGGCCGTATAGGGAAATACCACAAAATAGGGCCCGCTAAATTGACAAAACATAACGCTTGTACCAACAGAAAGATGCGATAAAAGGCTTTATACTGTTTTCTGATGTGTTCCAATCCGCTTTTAAGATTTCCATCACTTTTCCTCGACCTTACTTGTCGTCACAGGGAAATTAGGTATTATCAACTGAGTTGATAACGTAAATTGGCCACCGTAAAGAGGTTCAAAGCTGACGTTTCGAGCGTTAGCCCTTCGTTAGAGCGAGATATGACGAAATACGTTCTGACGAAGTGCTAACGCTCGAAACGTCAGCTTTGAAACTCTTTACGGTGGCCAATTTACGTGATCAACTCAGTTGATAATCACCCCATAATACCTAATTACCCTGTTATACTCTTTCACCGACGCAACACCACAGTTTCTTTAGAAACTAACCTCCTTTTCACTTCTTTATTGTAGCATGATTGAAGTATTGTTTGGGGACCAGATAGTCATTTGTAACCTTACACAAAGCTTGCAGCGGAAGTTCTTCACGACATGTATAACCGTCATGTTGAGTTCTCACAGCGGGCAGCGGGGGTAGGATGTGGGGAGAGTTGAATTTTGACAAGCGACGAGGAGAAAGGGGAAAGCGGACCCGACCACCCCCGCCTGCTCACTTTTGACCAAAATCAAACATGGAGGATTTGGGCAAGTTATCACTAGTTTTTCAAAAGTTTTTCCGAAGTTCCTGATTAATTTCCTTTATGCGGCTACCCTCTAAAAAGGAGTGTCCAGCGCAGTAGAACAACTTTCAATCGAAAGGAAATCGAGGCACATAAATTCATAGATCGCCAAAGTTCCTTTACCCCAGCACCCACGCAAAGGTGGCGTAATTTGTTCTTATTTTTATTGCTGTACACGCACACGCATTAACATGTTCGGATGTGTTGTGCGGCCCGACTCAAAACTTCCGCGTTTTTTGTCCGTTTCCAATCGCTCTTCGTTTTACGTACTAAACGCCAAACTTAGAACGTCGAAAAGAAAGAAAGATTCACTTCAAAAAAGAGTGATTTGCTGAAAGGACTGGGAAGGAAAAGCACAGGTTTCCCGCCATAGGCTTGGTTACCAAGGAAGAGAAGAGGAAGTTGAAAACAGAAATAGAAACCGAAAACTGGGGGTGTCTTTTGATCAAAAAACAGCTGAACCAAACGTTTGGTCTTATTAACTGCATGTCAGGTAAGGTGTGGAAAAACATTTTTCACGGTTTCTATTCTCAGAAGGTTTTTACAAGTGCTTGTTGACATGGATTCCATTTTCGATCGAATACAGTTTTGTCTTCGAAAATGGCGACTTGCATCATAACTCGTGAATACTCGATCATTATTGATTTTATGCAGATGAATTTTAACATGAATGTTTGGGGAATATTTGGATAATTCCAGCGCGCTTTCGGTTTTTGCACATTCTGAATAAAAAGTGAAAGAAGGTGAAGGTTACGTACAAATTTACTTAAATTGTGTTCGAAAGACTTCTGCATGGTCTTACTGTAGCTTCCACTTGTCAAATTTTTAGCAATGTTATAGCCAGGAAAGAAATATAGAGTCTACCACAACCCAAAGGTATTTCAGTGAATTTATTTCAGTAGACTTAACTTCGATCCAAAGCCTGTTGTCTTCTGAGTTAGCCAGAAGGGCTGGTGTTTACCTTTTAAAATGTTCCTCTCAGTCAGATATGATTAATTTACCCCCTTTAAAAATTGTACTTCCATACTCCTTTGGCTTATAGTAAAGGCTTTTGACTTGCATGATTTAAATTCCAGCCCTTGCAATAAGCTAACCTGTCACCAGTATTCTATACTTACGGTTCATTTTGTACTCTCCTTATGTATGGTATTAACTCATAATTCTATCCCCTTCTGTCACAATTTTCAATCCAGTTCCCTGATTTTTGATTGGTTTGTTTGGCCCAGCATTGTAGTGAAAGGGTAAACTAAATTATCCCATTTCATCTATAAGAACTTACAGAGGGACAGCCGTCCCCAGAGCCAAATCATCCTTTAAATTTTATTATTCTTTACTTTTTCCCTTCAGGAATGGAAGTATAACTATGCCTTAATGAAAGTTACCTGATCTTTAGACTGCTTATAAACTCAATTTTACCTTAGATCTCCATAATCAGACCCTTAAAAGATTCATGTGATGCAATAAGTGACCAAAGCTGTGTTCAGATATCAGAGTTTTCAGACAACAGAGAGAAGGACGACATGGGACAAAGTGAGTTGAGTCATTTAAAAAAAGAGTGAAGGTTTAAAAATTAGCAAATAGTCTGTGGTGAGAGGGAGGGGGATGGGGGTTCAAAGGTGTACAAGGCTATTCTCTGTGAAAATTGCTATTAACCCTTTGATTCCTAGGGGGTGACTGGCCTCTAATTCCTCTTTACATAGGGTCTCAATGGTGTGATGACTTTTACAGCTAACAGTTAAAATTTTGTCCATTTTATGGCAAACTGTTTATTTCTTTCCATAAAGATTTAAAGAAAGCTTTTTATGATTAACTTTTTGTATGATCATGGTTTACAGAACCATTCTTTGAAATTTGCTTCAGCAGATCTGGGTTCAATAGGCAATAAAAAGGAAGATACTTTCCCAGATACTCTAGAAGGATTTGGATACAAGTTTAATGAAGGTTTGTGACAGAAAAAAAGAATCTTGCATAGAACACTGCCCTCTCAGTCAATCGTAACATAGCAAGTATTGAGTTATCAGACACAGCTGCTATTATGGAAGCATGAGCAATAACTGGCGTCAAAGGTGATCAGTTTGACTTGGATTGGACTCAACCAATTCTGGACTTAACATAAGTAGCTCAAAGTACAGGTTGTCCTTAAAACTTTAACCACCAGAAGTGGCGAACATGTAACTCTTCCCCATAATATCCACATGTTATCTAGCAAACAGGTAATGAGAATACTCAAACTTGTCAGGTTTTAAGTGATCTAATACTAAATTCTGAAACTAATTTACCAGGAAATGTGTGGCAGCTAGCGAGGATAATGAACAATCAGATCTTGGGAGTTACAGAGGGTTATAAGAAATGTTGTCGCTGACTGTAACTGACATTTTGGCAACCTGAATCATTGGTTGCCTAAATGTCTGCTTGATCGCTGTCACTGATAACAGTCCCTTTCAAGACTGCACTCATTCACTCACTCTCCTCAGCTGTCATAAGAAAATATTATACCAAGTTTGAAACCTTCGAAAGTACTGTTTTATTGAGTTGTTCAGTATATAAAACAATTTTAATTTTGGTGTTGAAAGTAATTGGGGATTGCTTTAGTTTTGTTTTACTTGGCTCCATGTTTAATTCATAAAATTTGTACCACTTTCTCAACAAATCAGATTAAAAGGTAAATTAACGCAATTTTGACTTGGTCACCTGCGCTTTCCTGCACTAATATTGCGCAGTTTACTTGTTTTGAACTTTCCTTTGTTTTGAGTGACTTTTTTCCTTGATAGCTTGGCTTTTTCTTTACACCACTCAATTGAAAAATGCTCTATAATTATCTCATTATAATTATGTCTCTGCAGAAGGAAAGCTGAGAAACATAGAGACTGATGAACCCTTTAAGTTTGAAGTGAAAGAGGGTGATAGGGCATATAACCAAAAACATTATGAGGCACTAGGAGAGGTATGATTTGTAGTCACTGTTACATTTAACGTATTGATTAGAATGTACTCACGACAAACCTTTAGTTTTAGATGATATATCAAGTAAGCTTCTTGTAGGTATGTATACAGTTTTTATTGAGATGTTTGCTAACAGCAATGCTCCAATCACACCTTTATTTCCATGTTGTCATTTGGCAGAAAAGTAATTTTCAAATTGGTTGCCAGTAAAGACATATTGTACAATATATACACAACAGTGTGGTGTGAAAGCATGTACTGGTAGTTGTCTGCTGACACCATCTATTCCAAGATGCAAACAGTTTCCAAGAACGAAGTACGAGGAAAACTTTGAGCTACAAGGAACAGATAATGTGGAAGGACAATGTACGAGCGCAATTAAATGCTCTGTGAATCATCTTTGATGTGCTGCTATATTTCTCTACTTGGAATAACTGTCAGCTACCATCAGGACCATTTGTATATTTTTTTTTTACAAAAAAGTATGAATACTGCAAGCCTTTTTACTCACTGATACCTTTTTTTAGGCCCATGTATACATACAGTATATATCTTGCTTCATATTTCTAGCTATTAATTTACCCATATGTGTGACCATTGTTGCGAAAAAAAAAGTTGTGAGGCAATTTATCTTGGTTAGACTTTGTCAATCAAGTAAAATCTATGTTCAGTTTATTGGCTCAAAAACTATAGAGGTGTTAGTAATTTTAAGTAAATTTTTTCAATACTGATTTATTTAATAGATATTTGTGTCTTTTTAGGTCATCACTGAGTATATCTATCATTTACTGGAGAATGAAGAGAATAAACTAAAGAGAGTTACTGTTCCTGTAAGTGAGACTAAACCACAACAACAACAATTTTGATATGTGTTTTTGGTAAGCTATAAAATTCACACTTTAGCAGGGGGTTTATTAGAAAGGTAAAGAAGACAGAGTAAATAGAATTAAATTATCTTCTAATCCATTATTTTTGTTTTAGGTTGATGCCAAAGGTGATGAAGTTAAAAGTTTCTTTTTCATGAGTAAGAATGCAATGGAAAGTGACAAGCTGATGATCCTAATTCACGGCAGTGGTGTGGTCAGAGCGGGACAGTGGGCAAGAAGGTACAACTTTTTTTATTGTTTTTTATTTGTACAGCAACTAATTAGGATTTTATTTTTCTTTCCTCTTTTTCAGTTTGCTAGCTTGTTTGTTTTCTTTGGTTAGTTTCTTTGCTTTTAATATACATGTACCAGGGTACCTCATCTGTTTTTGTCCTCACCCATGTTTAGCTTTGTACACACTGTTTGAATCTTCCCCTGAAGGATTTCTTCCTCCAGGCATAAGTTCTTGTTGGTAATTTTTATGATCTTCCTTGGTCTGTGGTAAGATAGGGATTTATCATAGAATCACTTCATCTTGAGCAATAACAGTAATTCATTGAACTACTTTGTCATTGTCTCTGTTTCTCTTAGATTAATCATTAATGATGATTTGGAGAGTGGAACAATGTTGCCATACATCAAACGGGCCATGCAGGTAAAACATTTAATGTTTAAAATATTTTTAGGGAGTGAATGCAAGTACCTTTCAAAATATTGTAAGTTCTCTTGAAGGAAAACTCTAATGGTGGAACAAGTTGCTGTCAAATCAGCAAGAATTTCTTGTTTTAATGAGATTGTTTAGAAAAATTGAGAAACAAGAACCAACTGCAATGGAAATTAGAAACAAATGCAGGCAAAATGGTTGCATTTTCTTAATGGGTGCCAAAAAAAATCATACTTATCATCCTACAGTACCTGTTTGTTTGTGGGAGTCCCGAGGAGATCATGAGGATAATAGCAATAACTGTAATGCATCATGCAATCCAACCTGACAGCTTGAAACGTATTTCATTTTCAAAACAGCTGATATCTGTTTGGATCAATTCTCACTTGTCACATGTCACACCAGTCTGAACAAAGCTTTTTGTTGGTGCCCAAGCAAAAATCTGAGCACCATACCCTGAGACAGTCAGGCTTTAGCTCCAAGGGTAGTCCAAGGGCACCACTTGGAACTTGTCTGAACACGTTTTTGTTGATTCCTGTGCTTTCTTTCCATGCTTCCCTGCCATGCAGTCACTAAAATGGCATAAACATATTGTAAACTACAAAAAGAATGTTGGGTGCAAAGCTTTTTGCGCAAGTGCTTAGAAGAAATACTTGTTCCAGACCACCAGTGTGTCTAAACAATGTCCTGTTTGGTCCCCAGACACAGTACCACTAAATGGGTACCAAGTCTGAATGGTGTCTTGGCCCTAATATGAAGTCAAATCTCTCAATCCATATTGCAGGGACCAAAGTATGTCTTTAGGTTGATGATGAAAGTAATTCTCCTCTTTTTTGTTTTGTTTGTTTGTTTTGAATAGGAAGGTTATGGAGTTCTTATCACAAATGGAAATGAAAACTATGTGTGGTCAAACAGATATAGAACAATCATCAGGGTAGGGTACCTATAAATTACCTTAATTTGACAGTCAAGGAATTGTTTCACTGGATAGTGAACCTGTTGATTGTTAATTTTATTACCTGAGAAATTCAATAATGCAACTTAGAGACTGTTAACTTTAACTGAGTTTAATATATACTCCATCTTTTTCCTATTAAGGGCAGTGAATCCCCAGAGAAGCACTTTTCCTATGTATGGGACAACTTTATATCAAAGGCTGTAGCTCATACGATAGTTGTTGTGGCCCATAGTCATGGAGGAATCGTCATTGTGGAAGGGGTAATTGAACACATTGAATATGTTGTTTGAATTTTGTTTGAATTTTTGTTTGAATTGCTTGTATATGGTGAAACTTTGAGTGTTAAATGATAACACTATGCAATACAGGATGTCCCATTGATACTTCCAAACCTAGATGGAGTCATTTTTTATTCTTAAACTGTGATTGGCTTATCTGATTTGTTTGAGTGATAGTGGTATCAGTAGTTGCATTGTAAACTGGTTCAGGTCAAATATTTAATAAACCTCTATGCACTGTTCTTTTTTTCAGCTTCAAAAGTGTGAAGGTATCATGGAAAGGGTAAAAGCCATTGCCTTTACAGACTCAGTGCACAGTCTTTCACACCATAGGGCAGACAAGAAACTTAGTGCATGGATGAAAAAGGTACTGGGAAAAGATACTGGTATCGCAGAGGTCATGGGTTCAAATTGCATATGGGCCTGAATTTTTTTTTCAGGCATTATTTTCACTACCCGATTATTATAAGTAGTGTTCATAACTGCAAGGATCACTTCTGTATTTGTTTCTTCAACTGCAGTTCACATATCAAATGATTTTCATATATTTTCACTGAGATACTGGGATGTTGTTGCTAGAGGATTGTTATGCACAGATTGGTAGATGCTGATCATAAGAAATCAGGAGCCTGCAAAGGTTAAAATTTATGTACAATCTAGACAGATTTTTAACTCTTTTGTATAGTTATAGTGGCTGGTGCTTTGGAATTGAGTAGCCACTGAAACCACAAGTACTTGTTGCTTTTGGAGAAGTTTGCTAGTATCTTTTTTTGTTTTTGTGCAAAAAAAGCTCTGACAGCCAGCAAACTTGGATCAATATTGGTATCTGGGCAACTGCCCACCTACCCCTCCCCTAACTCAACAACGGTCAATTGACAACAAGTTAAGATTAATGTTGGGTTAGGGGAGGGGTAGGTGGGCAGTTGCCCAGATACTGATATTGATCCACAAACTTTGCTGTTTCCTTTACAGTGTTTCTCTGGTTACTCATCCACTTACTCGAGATGCCTGGAAGAAAACTTATTAAGAGCATTAAACATTAAACCCTAGATATAAAAAAAACTCTTTTGTGCATGGTCTGCACATTTTACACCCTAACACATCCTAACATATCCACACATTTCCCAAGATGTTGAAAAGGAGAATTTGTGTAACCCTTTAAATCCTAACAGTGACTAGCATCAAATTTCTCCCTACAATATCACCCCTGGATTACATGTTAAGGTCATGAGAATAAAGGAAATGATCACAAATGAAAGAAGCTTTTGATTGGTAAACAAATTCTCCTTGTCAGCATCTTAGGAAATGTGTTAAAAGCAGTATGGAGAATATGCATACTGATTTTAGGGTGTAAAGGGTTAAAAAGCAAGAGCTTCTTCAAGTTGTGGTAGTTTTCGTTATTCTCTTGACCTTAATTTTTGATGTGTTGGGGTGATATTCTTAGGAGAAATTAGATTCTAATGACTCTTAGGGTTAACCCTCTAAGAGTGACAAGCATCTAATTTCCCTCCAAAGAGTCACCCCTGAATCAAACATTAAAGTTGAAAAAAATAAAGGAAACTATTGCAAGGTCAAGAACTTCTTGATTATTAGTCAGACAAATTCTTGGTGTTGGTTGCCCTTATTTCAATTATAATCATGATAATCACACCATTTAATTATGATTGCATCATAATCACCCAGCAACCTTTATGTAACCAGAATAGTGGGATATAACAAATAGGATCTTGAAAGTATTAGTTTTGACATTCAATTTAAAAAGGTCTGATGAGTCATACATTAATGAAAGTTTGTTGTTGTCATTGTGTTGTAGCATGCACGTAACTGGGTCTCTTCAGACCTCCCTCTGGATACCATTATAGATTACAAAGGTGCTGATTGTGAGCTGGTCTCAGCTGGTGAGAAGATAGATAACTCTTTTTTCTCCCTCTACACCCTCTTCAGTAAATTCCTCTTTCAAGGATTATAGGACAGGGTTTTTTACTTTTTCTCCTCTTGCACCTCAACCACGAGTCAATTGCAAGCATCTTTCAAAGGAGGCTGTCTGCTACTGACACCTGCACCACTCCCTGTAGGGACACCTGTTGCCTCTTTGTTCCACGCAATGTTAATCTGCTAGATGCCCAGGACACTGTGGCAGTGGACAACACAGAGCAAGGCAGAGGGGAAGGGGAGACTGTAATAGGAAGCATTTAAAGTGGTTAATTGTCTCAAATAAATATCAAACATAATGGCAGAGTTTGTTATTGATCTCAATTCATGAACACACTTAATTCATAGAAAATGAACATCTGCATCATTAACCTTTTAACCCCCAAAAATAACTGGATTCTAATTTCTCTTAACAGTATTGCACTTGAATCAAATTTAAGGTCCAGGAGATTAAAGGAAATTATCACCAATTTAGGAAGCTTGTGATTGTGAAACAAATTCTCCTTAAAAGTACCACAGAAAATGTGAATAGAACAGAGTGGAGAATACTTAGGGTGTAATGGTTGAAGAAAAAAACACAATGAGGTTAAAAAATTCCTTGTTCTGTGATACACCTTTTGTAAAACTATTTTGATCTTCTTTCTGAGGATGATACTGAGTTATTTTTGTTTACAACTTAGTAAGAATAACTTTATGAAGTGCCATAATATTTCTTAGTTATAGACTGATATGCAATAACTTCTTTTCCGTTTATTTTAGGTACAATGAAACGTGAGGTCACTTCACATGCAGCTTTTGATTCAATCTTTAAGTTCTTTGATGAGAAGCAATAAGCTTCAAATCAGACTGATAGCTCTGAAAAGCAGGGTGACACATCAGTTGGTCAGACCCCAATGGACAGTTGTGGAAGTCCATCAGATGAAGCTGAAAGCAAATTATAATAAAGTTCGGATGTAACGCGCGCTGTCATTGGTTGACAGAGCGTGCTCTATGAGAGTATAGAGTATAGTATTTTCTACCTTGTGGAAAAAACTCGCGTGTTTTTATGAGCCATAATTCGGCTGAATTTCACGGAACATTTCACTTCGAGATTCTGTATTAGAGACTTAAAAACTTCAGGCAAAAGTATTAAATTCGACTTGCTGAACTGTTTGTAAACTATCGTAGAATGTGAACTTTGTTGGTTTTTGAACTTTGATGGTTTGACACTTTTGACAGCTTTAGTCTTGTACAGCGAACATTTCACTTCAAGATTCTGTATTAGAGGCTTAAAAAACTTCAGGCAAAAGTGTTAAATTCGACCTACCGAACTATTTTAGTTTGTAAACAATCGCAGAAGGTGAACTTTGATGGTTTTTGAACTTTGATGGTTTGACACTTTTGACAGCTTTAGTCTTGTACAGCCAATCAGATTATTTGAACCATTCTAACAGGGATTGTGATTGGCTTATTGTAGTGTGCTCTATGAGAGTAGAGAGCATGCTGACGACACTGTTGTTCGCTTTGGAAATAAAGTTTGTTGTGAAAATTGAAAGTAATTCTCGTGGAATTTAATGGATTCTTTATTATAAAACAAATAGAGAAGCCTTAGGGTTAAGCAATTACTGTTTCTCCCTACACTTCTTTCGTGCTCTCGCCGCTTCCTGCGTGCTTTATAACAGAACAGAGCACAGTCAAGGCTTCTCTATTTGTTAAATGGAAATCTCTGAAAATGAAAATGATGGAGTAAGTACTATCACCAGTTTTTCAAAAGTGTTTCAAAAGCTCCTGATTAATTTCCTTCACGCGACTACCCTCCAAAAAGGAGTCTCCAGCGCAGTAGAACAACTTTCAATCGAAAGGAAATCGAGGCAAATAGATTCATGGATCGCCAAAGTTCCTTTACCCTAGCACCCACGCAAAGGTGGCGTAATTTGTTCTTATTTTTATTACTGTACACGCACACGCATTAAAACGTTCGGATGTGTTGTGCAGTCCGACTCAAAACCTTCGCGTGTTTTGTCCGTTTCCAATCGCTCTTCGTTTTACGTACTAAACGCCAAGCTTATTAGAGCGTCGAAAAGAAAGAAAGATTCACTTCAAAAAAAGAGTGATTTGCTGAAAGGACTGGGAAGGAAAAACACAGGTTTCCCGCCATAGGCTTGGTTACCAAGGAAGAGAAGAGGAAGTTGAAAACAGAAATAGAAACCGAAACTGGGGGTGCCTTTTGATCAAAAAACAGCTGAACCAAACGTTTTATATGAGAAGGGAACTCTTGGTCTTATTAACTGCATGTCAGGTAAGGTGTGGAAAAATGTTTTTCATGGTTTCTATTATCAGAAGGTTTTTACAAGTGCTTGTTGACATGGATTCCATTTTCGATAGAATACAGTTTTGTCTTCGAAAATGGCGACTTGCATCACAACTCGTGAATACTCGATCATTATTGATTTTAAACAGATGAATTTTAACATGAATGCTAGGGGGATATTTGGATAATTCCAGTGCGCTTTCGGTTTTTGCACATTCTGAATAAAAAGTGAAAGAAGGTGAAGGTTTCGTACAAATTTACTTAAATTGTGTTCGAAAGACTTCTGCATGGTCTTACTGTAGTTTCCACTTGTCAAATTTTTAGCAATGTTATAGCCAGGAAAGAAATATAGAATCTACCACAACCCAAAGGTATTTCAGTGAATTTATTTCAGTAGACTTAACTTCGATCCAAAGCCTGTTGTCTTCTGAGTTAGCCAGAAGGGCTGGTGTTTACCTTTTAAAATTTTCCTCTCAGTCAGATATGATTAATTTATCCCCTTTAAAAATTGTACCTCCATACTCCTTTGGCTTATAGTAAAGGCTTTTAACTTGCATGATTTAAATTCCAGCCCTTGCAATAAGCTAACCTGTCACCAGTATTCTATACTTACGGTTCATTTTGTACTCTCCTTACGTATGGCATTAACTCATAATTCTATCCCCTTCTGTCACAATTTTCAATCCAGTTCCCTGATTTTTTATTAGTTTGTTTGGCCCAGCATTGTAGTGAAAGGGTAAACTAAATTATCCTATTTCATCTATAAGAACTTACAGAGGGACAGCCATCCCCAGAGCCAAATCATCCTTTAAATTTTATTATTCTTTACTTTTTTCCTTCAGGAATGGAAGTATAACTATGCCTTAGTGAAAGTTACCTGATCTTTAGACTGCTTATAAACTCAATTTTACCTTAGATCTCCATAATCAGACCCTTAAAAGATTCTTGTGATGCAATAAGTGACCAAAGCTGTGTTCAGATGTCAGAGTTTTCAGACGACAGGGAGAAGGACAATATGGGACAAAGTGAGTTGAGTCATTTTAAAAAAGAGTGAAGGTTTAAAAAATAGCTCATAGTCTGTGGTGAGAGGGAGGGAGGTGGGGATCCAAAGGTGTACAAAGCTATTCCCTGTGAAAATTGCTATTAACCCTTTAATTCCTAGGGGGTGACTGGCCTCTAATTCCTCTTTACATAGGGTCTCAATGGTGTGATGACTTTTACAGCTAACAGTTAAAATTTTGTCCATTTTATGGCAAACTGTTTATTTCTTTCTGTAAAGATTTAAAAGAAACTTTTTATGATTAACTTTTTGTATGATCATGGCTAAACTTTGTCAATTTTTACACTAAAAGGGCTAAATTTTTTTGCAGTTTTAAGGCTAAAATTTAACCTTATTGGAACCCTCCTTACAGTGTCACCTTGAATCAAATATAAAGGTCATGAGAATAACAGAAGTGTTCACTGATTTAAGAAACTCTTGATTGTCAACTAATTCTCCTTGTCAGCACCTTAGGAAATGTTCAGAGAACAGTATGGAGAATATGCATACTGATGTTAGGTTGTAAAGGGTTAAGAGGATAATGTCTACAAAAAAACTCCACAGCTGGACAGTGGTTTACTCACTAGATTTTTGAACCTTATTAGGCTCCTTGTTGAAATCTGCAGCAATGGTCTTCTTGCTGTGTTCCATTTGTTACTATCTTGTTACTCGGGTGGAACTTTAACTTCATTTTCAAATCAAGCAAAGCAGCTATAATTCATACTCAGCATTCTATCTGCTGATAACAGTTCCCCGTCACTTTCTCCAAACTTTTCTTGGTTTACAGAACCATTCTTTGAAATTTGCTTCAGCAGATCTGGGTTCAAAAGGCAATAAAAAGGAAGATACTTTCCCAGATACTCTAGAAGGATTTGGATACAAGTTTAATAAAGGTTTGTGACAGAAAAAAAGAATCTTGCATAGAACACTGCCCTCTCAGTCAATCGTAACATAGCAAGTATTGAGTTATCGAACACAGCTGCTATTAACTGCTGTCAAAGGTGATCAGTTTGACTTGGGTTCTACAGGTTAGACTCAACCAATTCTGGACTTAACATAAGTAGCTCAAAGTACAGGTTGTCCTTAAAACTTTAACCGACAGAAGTGACGAACATGTAACTCTTCCCTATAATATCCACATGTTATCTAGCAAACAGGTAATGAGAGTACTCAAACTTGTCAGGCTTTAAGTGATCTAATACTAAATTCTGAAACTAATTTACAAGGAAATGTGAAGCAGCTAGCAAGGATAATGAACAATCAGATCTTGGGAGTTACAGAGGGTTATAAGAAATGTTGTCGCTGACTGTAACTGACATTTTGGCAACCTGAATCATTGGTTGCTTAAATGTCTGCTTGATCGCTGTCACTGATAACAGTCCCTTTCAAGACTGCACTCATTCACTCACTCTCCTCAGCTGTCATAAGAAAATATTATACCGAGTTTGAAACCTTCAAAAGTACTGTTTTATTGAGTTGTTCAGTATATAAAACAATTTTAATTTTGGTGTTGAAAATAATTGGGGATTGCTTTGTTTTGTTTTACTTGGCTCCATGTTTAATTTATAAAATTTGTACCACTTTCTCAACAAATCAGATTAAAAGGTAAATTAACGCAATTTTGACTTGGTCACCTGCACTTTCCTGCACTAATATTGCGCAGTTTACTTGTTTTGAACTTTCCTTTGTTTTGAGTGACTGTTTTCCTTGATAGCTTGGCTTTTTCTTTACACCACTCAATTGAAAAATGCTCTATAATTATTTCATTATAATTATGTCTCTGCAGAAGGAAAGCTGAGAAACATAGAGACGGATGAACCCTTTAAGTTTGAAGTGAAAGAGGGTGATAGGGCATATAACCAAAAACATTATGAGGCACTAGGAGAGGTATGATTTGTAGTCACTGTAACATTTAACGTATTGATTAGAATGTACTCACAACAAACCTTTAGTTTTAGATGATATATCAAGTAAGCTTCTTGTAGGTATGTGTACAGTTTTTATTGAGATGTTTGCTAACAGCAATGCTCCGATCACACCTTTATTTCCATGTTGTCATTTGGCAGAAAAGTAATTTTCAAATTGGTTGCCAGTAAAGACATATTGTACAATATATACACAACAGTGTGGTGTGAAAGCATGTACTGGTAGTTGTCTGCTGACACCATCTATTCCAAGATGCAAACAGTTTCCAAGAACTAAGTACAAGGAAAACTTTGAGCTACAAGGAACAGATAATGTGGAAGGACAATGTACGAGTGCAATTAAATGCTCTGTGAATCATCTTTGATGTGCTGCTATATTTCTCTACTTGGAATAACTGTCAGCTACCATCAGGACCATTTGTATATTTTTTTTTTACAAAAAAGTATGAATACTGCAAGCCTTTTTACTCACTGATACCTTTTTTTAGGCCCATGTATACATACAGTATATATCTTGCTTCATATTTCTAGCTATTAATTTACCCATATGTGTGACCATTGTTGTGAAAAAAAAGTTGTGAAGCAATTTATCTTGGTTAGACTTTTTCAATCAAGTAAAATCTATGTTCAGTTTATTGGCTCAAAAACTATAGAGGTGTTAGTAATTTTAAGTAAATTTTTTCAATACTGATTTATTTAATAGATATTTGTGTCTTTTTAGGTCATCACTGAGTATATCTATCATTTACTGGAGGAAGTAGAACTAGAGAGAGTTACTGTTCCTGTAAGTGAGACTAAACCACAACAACAACAATTTTGATATGTGTTTTTGGTAAGCTATAAAATTCACACTTTAGCAGGGGGTTTATTAGAAAGGTAAAGAAGACAGAGTAAATAGAATTAAATTATCTTGTAATCCATTATTTTTGTTTTAGGATGATGCCAAAGATAGTGAAGGTAAAAGTTTCTTTTTCATGAGTAAGAATGCAATGGAAAGTGACAAGCTGATGATCCTAATTCACGGCAGTGGTGTGGTCAGAGCCGGACAGTGGGCAAGAAGGTACAACTTTTTTTTATTGTTTTTTATTTGTACAGCTAACAATTAGGATTTTATTTTTCTTTCCTCTTTTTCAGTTTGCTAGCTTGTTTGTTTTCTTTGGTTAGTTTCTTTGCTTTTAATATACATGTACCAGGGTACCTCATCTGTTTTTGTCCTCACCCATGTTTAGCTTTGTACACACTGTTTGAATCTTCCCCTGAAGGATTTCTTCCTCCAGGCATAAGTTCTTGTCGGTAATTTTTATGATCTTCCTTGGTCTGTGGTAAGATAGGGATTTATCATAGAATCACTTCATCTCGAGCAATAACAGTAATTCATTGAACTACTTTGTCATTGTCTCTGTTTCTCTTAGATTAATCATTAATGATGATTTGGAGAGTGGAACAATGTTGCCATACATCAAACGGGCCATGCAGGTAAAACATTTAATGTTTAAAATATTTTTAGGGAGTGAATGCAAGTACCTTTCAAAATATTGTAAGTTCTCTTGAAGGAAAACTCTAATGGTGGAACAAGTTGCTGTCAAATCAGCAAGAATTTCTTGTTTTAATGAGATTGTTTAGGAAAATTGGGAAACAAGAACCAACTGCAATGGAAATTAGAAACAAATGCAGGCAAAATGGTTGCATTTTCTTAATGGGTGTCAAAAAAATCATACTTATCATCCTACAGTACCTGTTTGTTTGTGGGAGTCCCGAGGAGATCATGAGGATAATAGCGATAACTGTAATGCATCATGCAATCCAACCTGGCAGCTTGAAACGTATTTCATTTTCAAAACAGCTGATATCTGTTTGGATAAATTCTCAATTGTCACATGTCACACCAGTCTGAACAAAGCTTTTTGTTGGTGCCCAAGCAAAAATCTGAGCACCATACCCTGAGACAGTCAGGCACTAGCTCCAAGGGTAGTCCAAGGGCACCACTTGGAACTTGTCTGAACACGTTTTTGTTGATTCCTGTGCTTTCTTTCCATGCTTCCCTGCCATGCAGTCACTAAAATGGCATAAACATATTGCAAACTACAAAAAGAATGTTGGGCGCAAAGCTTTTTGCACAAGAAGAAATACTTGTTCCAGATCACCAGTGTGTCTAAACAATGTCCTGTTTGGTCCCCAGACACAGTACCACTAAATGGGTACCAAGTCTGAATGGTGTCTTGGCCCTAATATGAAGTCAAACCTCTCAATCCATATTGCAGGGACCAGGTGCTAACTTTTAGAGTACAACCCTGCCTACCCCCATTTAAAGTATGTCTTTAGGTTGATGATGAAAGTAATTCTCCTCTTTTTTGTTTTGTTTGTTTGTTTTGAATAGGAAGGTTATGGAGTTCTTATCACAAATGGAAATGAAAACTATGTGTGGTTAAACGGACGTAGAACAATCGTCAGGGTAGGGTACTTATAAATTACCTTAATTTGACAGGAATTGTTTCACTGGATAGTGAACCTGTTGATTGTTAATTTTATTACTTGAGAAATTCAATAATGCAACTTAGAGACTGTTAACTTTAACTGAGTTTAATATATACTCCATCTTTTTCCTATTAAGGGCAGTGAATCCCCAGAGAAGCACTTTTCCTATGTATGGGACAACTTCATATCAAAGGCTGTAGCTCAGACGATAGTTGTTGTGGCCCACAGTTATGGAGGAATCGTCATTGTGGAAGGGGTAATTGAACACATTGAATATGTTGTTTGAATTTTGTTTGAATTTTTGTTTGAATTGCTTGCATATGGTGAAACTTTGAGTGTTAAATGATAACACTATGCAATACAGGATGTCCCATTGATACTTCCAAACCTAGATGGAGTCATTTTTTATTCCTAAACTGTGGTTAGCTAATTTGATTTGTTTGAGTGATAGTGGTATCAGTAGTTGCATTGTAAACTGGTTCAGGTCAAATATTTAATAAACCTCTATGCACTGTTCTTTTTTTCAATTCAGCTTCAAAGTTGTGAAGGTATCATGGAAAGGGTAAAAGCCATTGCCTTTACAGACTCGGTGCACAGTCTGTCACACCATAGGGCAGACAAGAAACTTAGAGCATGGATGAAAAAGGTACTTGGAACAGATACTGGTATTGCAGAGGTCATGAATTTTTTTTTTCAGGCGTTATTTTCACTACTACTTATTAAGTAGTGTTCATAACTGCAAGGATCACTTCTGTATTTGTTTCTTCAACTGCAGTTCACATATCAAATGATTTTCAAATATTTTCACTGAGATACTGGCACGTTGTTGCTAGAGGATTGTTATGCACAGATTGGTAGATGCTGATCATAAGAAATCATGAGCCTGCAAAGGTTAAAATTTATGTACAATCTAGACAGATTTTTAACTCTTTTGAATAATTATAGTGGCTGGTGCATTAGAATTGAGTAGTCATTGAAACCACAAGCACTTGTTGCTTTTGGAGAAGTTTGCTAGTATCTTTTTTTGTTTTTGTGCCAAAAAAGCTCTGACAGCCAGCAAACTAGGATCAATATTTGTATCTGGGCAACTGCCCACCTACCCCTCCCCTAACTCAACAACAGTCAATAGACAACAAATTAAGATTAATGTTGGGTTAGGGGAGGGGTAGGTGGGCAGCTGCCCATATACTTATATTGATCCACAAACTTTGCTGTTTCTTTTGCAGTGTTTCTCTGGTTACTCATCCACTTACTCGAGATGCCTGGAAGAAAACTTATTAAGAGCATTAAACATTAAACCCTAGATATAAAAAACTCTTAATTTGTGCATGGTCTGCACCTTTTATGCCCTAACACATCCCAACATATCCACACATTTCCCAAGATGTTGAAAAGGAGAATTTGTGCAACCCTTTAAATCCTAAGAGTGACTAGCATCAAATTTTCCCTACAATATCATCCCTGGATTACACGTTAAGGTCATGAGAATAAAGGAAATGATCACAAATGAAAGAAGCTTTTGATTGGTAAACAAATTTTTCTTTGTCAGCATCTTAGGAAATGTGTTAAAAGCAGTATGGAGAATATACATACTGATTTTAGGGTGTAAAGGGTTAAAAAGCAAGAGCTTTTTCAAGTGGTGGTAGTTTTCGTTATTCTCTTGACCTTAATTTTTGATGTGTTGGGGTGATATTCTTAGGAGAAATTAGATTCTAATGACTCTTAGGGTTAACCCTCTAAGAGTGACAAGCATCTAATTTCCCTCCAAAGTGTCACCCCTGAATCAAACATTAAAGTCGTAAAAATAAAGGAAACTATTACAAGGTCAAGAACTTCTTGATTAATATATAGATTTAGCCAAGCCTAAAAGCGGAGCTTGAATTTTTTTTTCTCCTGCACGTCTCAGGGGCACAATGCCTTGCCCCGGCTAAGACTAGAACCTGGGTTGTCCGACTCGGAGCCCAGTGTACTGACCACTGGACTACTGAACAAAGCCATGGCGTTGGCGTGCCCGCGGTACAGTTGACCACACATGTTAAAAGTAGCACCTTGTACAGTCGTATGGTCATATGGTTGTACAGTCGTATGGTCATATGGTTGTACAGTCATACATCCAAATTTTTTCGGCTTGATGGGTTACAACTATTTTGTATAATTATGGGGCTACGCTCTGCGAGCTCTGCTATTAGTCTGACAAATTCTTGGTGTTGGTTGCCCTAATTTCAATTGTAATCATGATAATCACACCATTTAATTATGATTGCATCATAATCACCCAGCAACCTTTATGTAACCAGAATAGTGGGATATAACAAATAGGATCTTGAAAGTATTAGTTTTGACATTCAATTTAAAAAGGTCTGATGAGTCATACATTAATGAAAGTTTGTTGTTGTCATTGTTGTTGTAGCATGCACGCAACTGGGTCTCTTCAGACCTCCCTCTGGATACCGTCATAGATTACAAAGGTGCTGATTGTGAGCTGGTCTCAGCTGGTGAGAAGATAGATAACTCTTTTTTCTCCCTCTACACCCTCTTCAGTAAATTCCTCTTTCAAGGATTATAGGACAGGGTTTTTTACTTTTTCTCCTCTTGCACCTCAACCATGAGTCAATAGCAAGCATCTTCCAAAGGAGGCTGTCTGCTACTGACACCTGCACCACTCCCTGTAGGGACACCTGTTGCCTCTTCTGTTCCATGCAGTGTTAATCTGCTAGATGCCCAGGACACTGTGGCAGTGAACAACACAGAGCAAGGCAGAGGGGAAGGGGAGACTGTAATAGGAAGCATTTAAAGTGGTTAATTGTCTCAAATAAATATCAAACATAATGGCAGAGTTTAATGCATCATTAACCTTTTAACCCCCAAAAATAACTGGATTCTAATTTCTCTTAACAGTATTGCACTTGAATCAAATTTAAGGACCAGGAGATTAAAGGAAATTATCACCAATTTAGGAAGCTTGTGATTGTGAAACAAATTCTCCTTGAAAGTATTACAGAAAATGTGAATAGAACAGAGTGGAAAATACTTAGGGTGTAATGGTTAAAGAAAAAAACACAGTGAGGTTAAAAAATTTCTTGTTCTGTGATACACCTTTTGTAAAACTATTTTGATCTTCTTTCTGAGGATGATACTGAGTTATTTTTGTTTACAACTTAGTTAGAATAACTTTATGAAGTGCCATAATATTTCTTAGTTATAGACTGATATGCAAGAACTTCTTTTCTGTTTATTTTAGGTACAATGAAACATGAGGTCACTTCACATGCAGCTTTTGATTCAATCTTTAAGTTCTTTGATGAGAAGCTTAAAGCTTCAAATCAGACTGATAGCTCTGAAAAGCAGGGTGACACATCAGTTGGTCAGACCCCAATGGACAGTTGTGGAAGTCTGTCTGATGAAGCTGAAAGCAAAATGGAAATCCCTGAAAATGAAAATGATGGAGTAAGCTCAAGCAAATTGAATGAAAACTCCCAGACTCAAGCTGATGCCTCAGAAGAGCAGGAAGAAGCCCCCAGCAAAATGGATGATTCCTCCCAAGTTTTGGCAGATGCTACACAAACTGAAGAAGAAACCTCCCAGACTCAGGTAGATGTGTCACAAACCCAAAAGGTGCCCTCAACCAATGAGGAGGATTCCTCTCACACTTTGGCAGATGCCACACAAACTAAGGGAGAAACCTCCCAGACTCAGGCAGATGTGTCTCAAACCCAAGAGGTACCCTCAACCAATGAGGAAAATTCCTCCCAGACTTTGGCAGATGCCACACAAACTGAAGAAGAAACCTCCCAGACTCAGGCAGATGTGGCACTAACTCAAGAGGAACCCTCAGGCAATAAGGAGGATTCCTCCCAAACCCAGACAGGGGATACAAAGTCCCAGGCAGATGAAACTCGCATGGAAGTTGATGCAGATCAAAAGGGAACATAAGTTTGATAAATAACATTATTTCTTCTGTGCAACATTTGGTGATAGTGACATGCAAAACAAATGTGATAGGCAGGTGAATCATCCAGCTGGCAATTCAAAACATTGCAATGTCTTGTTTTTCTCACGTCTGCCTTGTTTTCTTATGCACCCTAGAGTTGCACAATATTACAGCAATATTTTAACATGACATTCTTTTAAATCATGGAAAAATTTGAAGTTGAAAAAGTAAGGTTGACTGTAGCTTTGGATGCTTTGCCCGTAGTGATAGCCCACTACATTATTTAAGAAATCTCTTTAAAAGCGATCACCAGGTGTTTTTTAAACTAAAGTACATTTTTTTAACCTAAATTATTCATTGATGACCTTAGATCAAGAGAATTGCATTACTATTAACCCTTTAATTCCCAAGATTTCATGAGTATTTCTCCTTACTGTCTGCCAAACAATTTATGTGATGTTAGTTTTGAGAATTTGGAATTGGATCAACCAATAATCCCCTAATTGATATTTTCTTTATTCTCATTACTAGTCTGCTTGATATCACATTGATAGTGTAAGGAGAAATTCTGTCTTGGTCACTAGTGGGACTTAATGGCTTTAAAAAAATTTTAAGAGTATTATCAACAATTAATGGTATAAACTTCAAAGTTCTTTGTGTCTGAAACAGGTGACTTTAGTTGACATCTGAGTATAGTCAAATAAATTGTGTAGAGCATTTTGATTTAAGTTGAATGAGTGGTATTAGTAAGCAATAGATAGCTTCACACATATATTGGAAACTTTGACAAAGAGCTCCCATAGTTAATTACCCATCAATTAACTCACAAAAACTATTATGTTGTATGTGCTATGACACAAATTCTGATAAATGATAAGTGCCACCCTATTTGATTATCAGCGATAATGCTCTTCTTTTCCTTCTTCAAGCATGACATTAAAGAACATGTAACAGTTTACAAAATGTTTGTTGCTGTTTTGCAGAATTTTAAGTCATTCAAATGTATTACCACTTATGAAATGACACATAGGATATACTTTTTTGTGTCTGCAAAATAGCATTGTAGCTAACCAGGGTAGGAGGGAAAAAACCTTAAAATGTCAAAGCTTTAAAAGAGTACACACAGGGACACCAAAAAGTACAATAAATTTGAAATAAGTAAATTAGAAATTGCAACCTGCAACATACAATAGAGAATAAAAAAAGAAATGATGTTTTAAAAGTTATGATTTACTAAATATGTTGATTTAACCCTTGAACTCCCAAGATCTGATTGTTAATTCTCCCCTGTAGCTGCTACACATTTCCTTGTAAATTAGTTATGAGAACTTGGTGCTAGTTCAAGATAGCAGCTTCTACCTGATAAGTTTGAATATTCTCATTACCTATTTTCTGAAGAATGTATGGATATTGTAGGGAGAAGTTTTATGTTAATCACTTCTGGGAGTTAAAGAGTTAAGCACATGTGTCCACACAAGTATCTTCTTGAATTTAAGTGTCCAGTAGCTGATGTATTTCCTCTTTTAACTGATGTTTTGGTAAAGAAGATTTAATATTTTCCCCAGCATTTCAAAAGCTTGAACAAGCTGTCATAGATTTTGCTGAGTGAAGCAGTCACTTTTCCTGTAGTTTTCACATGTTCATCATTCCCATGTAACTATGACACTACTGAAAAGTTGCTTTAATTTGTAACCAGTGCCTTCTCAAGTGGTTATTGTTACTGCAGAGGGTATAAAACTAAGCAAATTCATAAACCATTCATAGGGACACAGTAGCCATTGTAATGAGGTCTCTGATAGCAAAGGGTTAACCACAGTTGGCGGCAAACCAGTGAAGGTGAAGAACTGTCCTTTGGTTTGGGAGGAGGGGGTAAGGGGCCATCAAACTTTACTCCATCCCTTGGGTAAATTTTTCAACTCAACTCAGTGGCTGACTAATGAGTGATTATGAAGAGAATACTTGTGCACAAAAAAGAGACTTCATTTTATAATACATCGACATTTGTTAATCATCAAGTGACAGTGTAGTGGAGGTGCGTTGGTCTCATGGTTAGTATGCTTGGTTGCGGATTGAATGGTCTGGGTTCGAGCCCTGGCCAGGGTCATTGTGTTGTGTTCTTAGGCAAGATGCTTTACTCTCACAGTGCTTCTCTTCACCCAGGTGTACAAATGGGTACCAGCAAAAATGCTGGGGGTAACCCTGCAATGGACTAGCATCCCATCCAGGGGGGAGTAGCAATACTCCTAGCCGCTTCATGCTAAGGAAACCAGAGTTAAGCACCAGCCCCATGGGCCACTTGGGCCTGTATAAAGGCTTTACTTTTACCAAGTGACAGTATGGCAGTTTAGCACTCTACATTGAGTTCACCCTTTCATTCATGAGATCTAAATATTAATTTTCAGTACTAACTTCTTTACCAACAACTTAAAGAATTTAGTGTTTACTCAAGTGACTTTCCGTAATTGAAGTTCTCTTTCTCAGTACCTTTTGCTTGAAAATGGTTGGAGTTTTGCCTTTTTCAACTAAGGAGACATTTTCAGAAAGAGGTAACAACAACCCCAAAAATGAACATATGAAAATAGACTCATGTATGTGAGAAAGCAAGTGTCCAAGTCACAAATGGTTTCAGATTTCCATCTCACTGAACAAGAAAACAGGTCGAAATTTTTACATCAATTACAAGCCATAGTAAATTAAAATTGACTTACAAGAAATTTCCCTCAAATTGGTACAAAGACAAAATAAAAAATCTTCATTTTTTTCCAGTCTGCAGTGCTACCTCAACAGTTTACTATCAAGACAAATTCCAAGAACATCAACCCCCAAGGATCAAGGCTTGTTCTCTTTTTTTATTGAACCATCGTCACCATTGCTTTTCACAAATAATAAATTTAGATACTCTTAATTACAGATTATCATCAGATTCCTCAGTTAAAAATAAGTTTTGTGTGTATAATCTTTGAAACCATTATCATAAGAAATGATTGTATCTAAACACAGAGACAAACTAGTGTTGTTTAGTCTTGTCTATGCAGTTTTCTGATACAATGACATCAGCATGCAGCTCTAGTAATATATTATCAATCTTGAACTAAGAACTAAGAAAGCAAAATTGTGATTACATGTAAACCAAAGCAACATGAAAGAATTCATAAGCTTTGTGTTAACAACTTAAAAACAAGGTTTATCTATAATAACTGGAGGGGAAAACTAAAGATTTCTCTTAAAAAATATTTGGCAAGTGTGATGAATTTATCATGGACACCTCACATTTTGTTGCCTGGAATGCTGCATAACAATCATTATCAAACATTCAAAAATACATCCTTCACAAGATAGCTTCAGCCCTCATTGTCCATAATCAAAGAGGAGTTTAGATAATTACATAACATTAAGATACAATGTTTGAAGTCTTGTTTTCAGAGTTACTGAAAATGGTCATTAACTCTTTCACTGACATGTGCTTGTAACAATTAGGCCAGCTGGATTAAATAACCAAGATTTGATAAAATGCAATTTTATTGCACAGATACAATCAAGTCTTTCATCATATAGTCTCTGTTCTATGGTCTTTGTACTATACAATAATTATTAAACATGGAGAGGGTAGATGAGGGTATTGTTTCCAATGTCCTCTGATCTCTCCTGGTGTATTCATGAAAGTTCACTTCTCTATTTCTAAAATTTATGGAAGGCTAATAATTCTGAAATCAAATAGTTACGACATTATACCATTCCTTATGGGAAAAGATAGAGCATTTCTGTAGTAGTGTTTTGCGGCTCTTAACACAACTTAAGATCCAACATTTGGTAGAACAGTCGCATTTGTTGTTCATTTTTGATTCACCTCTACGTCCGTTTCGCTGTGTTCCAGAATATTTGAATAATACAGCAAGCCCGTCACCACAGAATAACCAACGATTATAGCTAGTACCTTGAGAAGACGACTGCCAGGCTCAGACAGCTCTCGCTGGAAGATTTCAAAGAATGTCACGAATAAAAAAGTTCCATTTGCAATTCCTTGTAAAATGCCTGAGTAGAGACTGCTTGTAAATTCAGTAGAGTTGTGTAGCACCGCAATTCCAATTGCAATGCCAATCGGGCCCATGACTGCAAACAGTATAGATGATTTGACGACGGTTTTTGTTGGCATTTCGTGATGCACTAAGTTCACACCTAACGAAAACGCAATGATCGATTTGTGTATCACGATGGCTCCGGCGATTTGTACCAGGCGCTCGACATCTGTGATCAAACCCAGTGCTAGTCCTTCGAATACTGAGTGCAACGATAAGGCGACGATTAATATGTAAGTTCTCAAACTCGACTCTCCGTATTTGTTTTTCTTTCGTGTTTTCCTTTCGCTACCCGAATAGAAACCATCATCTGGAGTATTATTCAAAAGGGGCTGTTTCGTTGTGTGGTCGCCATGCAATACGTGTAGCAAGGAAGAACCATGGCAAGAGTGAACGATCTGTTCTACAGCCAAGATGAGAAAGAAACCCATACATGTCGTGAACTCTGCAACGGGAAATACCGGATGGATACCAGCCAGATTAAACGCTTCTTCATACTTTTCTCGGATCATCGGCAGCAAATCTAACAAACATGTCGCAAAAAATACTCCCCCAGCGAAGCAGTTACAGTAACTGAGGATTCGCTGCCGTACACTGGCGGTCCCTGACCCCGGACGAATTTTCAATGGCACCAAACCGGCAAAGACGGTAAACACGAACAAAATTGCAATCGCAATCCCCTTGATGATGTCCTGCTGCATCACGATCTGCAGGTCCTGATGACTTTCCAAAACTCTACGCCACGAGAGAACGTACTTCCAGGGATCTTGAAACCAACGAAGAGGTGGTAAATCTCACTAAAGATCTCGTGATTGTAACGTGTTATAATATTCCAAAGCCCAGATTGGAGTGAAAGGAACGTAACGCGCGTGACCGCGAGTTGTACATACCAACCAGCCAATCAGTGTCTGTAAAAAGTCACGTGGAAATGACGCACTCTTTTATTCAGTTAGCGATTACGAAGAAGAGTTACTTTTTTCAATCAAAGAATACATACATACTTATATATATATACATATATTGATATGTATATACATAGAGAGAGATATATATACACCCCTTTCCAAAAACGTTGCTAATTTGAAAATGTAAATTAAATTTATAGACCTTTTACTTTCTCATCGAAAGAGTCACTTTTTGACAAGAAAACGAAAGATATATGTATTTAACATATATTTTCAAGGTTGTAACACTTTTGAAAACGGGAATATATTTATATATATATATTTACAGTTCAAAATGACTAAAATGAAACACGCATGATTCCCTGTAACTCTGAGTTTCGTGCTTACGCACTCGTCAGACAGATTTACAATTACATTAAATCTGTCTGACGAGTGCGTAAGCACGAAACTCAGAGTTACAGGGAATCATGCGTGTTTCATTTTAGTAATTTTGAACTGTATTTCGTTCTAAACTCATGTGTGTCTACACTCATATATATATATATATATATACTCACGTATGTATGTATGTTGCGATAGAGGAAAAAAACAGAGAGACTATACTTTCATCCCTACAAGCCTGTTTCGTGATTGGTGAGTGAGCAATCAAGAAACAGGCTTGTAGGGATGAAAGTATAGTCTCTCTGTTTTTTCCCCCTGTCGCAACATATATCACGCTCTACTTCTACGTATCGAGCACTGTAAAACGGAAAAATCAATACACAGACTTCCTGTATATATATATATCCGCCTCCCCCCCTCCCTCCCCTCAAACCCGGTTGATGAATCGTTGCCGTTTCAGAGGAAACAAAAACCTGCAAGGGGTCAGCTGCCTGTGGCGAGGTATCTTGCGCAATTTTCACGTGATGTCTGCACGTACAAAGCGATTACATTTATATTCAGCGTCTTTTCTTTGTGATGCAATTGAAATTCTGTATGCAAGCGGCTGGAAATAGAAATGACAACAATACATGACCACTGGATGCAAAGTACCAGTTTTCTCTCGTATGTGTTCCAGGAGAACGAGCATTTGATTTGTAAATAACTTTGTGTACTTTTCATCTGCCTAGGAATCTAGGAACGGATTCGTTCATTAAAACTGTCAAAGGAAAGTGACATTTTTAATACCCAACAATTTCTTGAATGTTCCTACAGGGTAATGTTGAACTCGTTCGTAGTTCTGACTTAAAATTCGCATGCTGTGATAGACGGATAAGTTTTCGATGGAGAGATAATAGATACCAACAAAACACCAGCTTTAAACACTTTCGTAACCTTTGCCCAAACTTTGGCCCATAGGATGCGTTTTCATTTTTTCGCTCGAATTTGTCCTTCCGTGGGTAGGCGAAGCTAATCTCTTTTAGAGGAAAATCTATATTGAACACTACGATGCAACCCTGACCCCTTTAACTACCAGAGGTGATTAACGTGTAACTTCTCCCATACATCATCCAGTTAACAGGTGTGCAATGAAATTACTCAAATCTATCAGACTCTCATCAGATAAAGTTGTCATCTTGATCTAACACCACCTTCCCGTAACTAATTCATAAGGAAACGTTTAACAGGTAAAGGGGAGAATGAACAATCAGTAGTCATTTCCGGCGGGAAAAAAAGGCATTTTCCTGGTGCACCCATGTTATGACGTGTTTTGAAAAAGAATCAGGAATTTTAGAATCACTTATCAGGTTTTATCAAGATCGTTGGGCATGCTCGATCATCATTCTAAGGGTGATCGAACCATAAAAATATTCGTTCGGTAATCTTCGGAAAATGTTCGAGGACGTCTGGGAAGTCAAAGGGTAACCATGTTCCCAAATCGAAAATGTACTGTTGACAGTGTTAGGGTCTTTTATTTCTAAAAAACAAGAGAATCACGAGCAAAAGCATCGTTTACAAATAATTTATATATCACGAGTAAAAAGAGATTTAGATTGAATGAACCACATAGTTGAACATTGGAGGTGACGTGTTTTGAACAAGTTCCGCTGAATCGCGTTGAAAGTAAGTCATGTGATAAGTTAGCGCATCACGTTCTATTTGTGCAAGACATTTCCCTGTTCCTAGCATGCTGAAACCTTTTAGTTCTGACCCTGGTGTCAAAGTCTAGCTGCTAACTGTTTTCTACCAAACCTTCAGTAAATATTTTAACCGTTAATTCCCATGAGTGACCAAGACAGAATTTCCCCTCACAATGTCAATACAATATCATGAATTCAAGTGATCAGAGGAAAGAAAAATATCTATTAAGGAATTATTGGTTGATCCAATACCAAATTTTCCAAGCTAACATCACAAGAATTGGTATGGCGACAGCGAGGTGAATTACTTAAAAGATCTGGGAGTTAAAAGGTTTAATAGCAGATAACGTCTTGACTCATCCATTTGCTTGACCCATATGAGTGCCCCTGTGTATAAATGCCGCATGAGGGAGAAATATTTCGGTCAGGGGGTCGTTTTGTAATCCCCGCAGGACCAAATAATTTATTACTTTGAGTGATACAGCTCAATCAGCGTCCCTTGTCGAGAATATTGTGCTTGCAAAGATCACGATCGACTCGGCTGGAAAATAAAATTTGAGAGGAAGTTAGTGGAGTGAGGCGAACTAAAAACAATCAAAATGGTTTCATTTGAATGTTGCAAGAAGTTCCCTGTAATAAGATACAAAAACAATTACGTGCAGGATTTAACTACGACAGTAGAGAAGGTCACGGAGGGTGCAGGCTGGTAGGCGGTTTTTGCGTGTTAAATCATCGTTCCTAACTTAGATGAGAAATCAGCCGTATGCACAGGATTTCCACCGTTGCAATGTTTCAATTATGTAAACAACCAAAGTTCAGTTGGACGGCAAGCTCGCAAGCTCAACGAACAAAGTTTCAAGTGTCCGTATCGAGTTTAATACGCACGTGATCTCCGTGATACCACGCAGGTTAAAATTAAACGTGACAGTGAAATTTCACGAGCTCTCCACGTGTAAACACAGTTTTCGTTGCTAAAACAGCTTATTTTGGTGGAAGAGAGAGTTATTTTTCACCTTCCCTCCGCATGAGACGCTTAAGTAGGCTATCCAAACATCCCTAACGTTGTAAACAATTTTCACGACCATAGAAAACCCGCGGTTCGAGGTGACACTTCCGGTTGTAGCCCTCGTGAATCGTGACAACTGCTTGTAGACCAAACTTGAATGTGGGCGTTTTTCAGGAGACCAAGAAGATCATTCTCTTGTGCTTTCCTCGTCTCCGATCGTTAAAAAAATGCAAAAAGGTCACGCCTGTCCTACGGGATTTGTTTACAAGGCCTCCAATTGCGCCGCACACTTTTACAGTTCTTAAATTCCTTTACGAGGACGCCGTAAAATTAAAGCTTATTACAATTCCTCTATCCACTCTCAAATCTGCCATATACATCCCCTCCAGCAACAGATAGTTTCCGGAAAAACTGTATAAGGCAGTGATATAGGGCTATTGTTCTTATGCAAATGAAGTAATGCATTGGAAATAAAAAATGACCTTAAATGGATGAAAATCTGAGAAATTTGGCAAGAGGAGGTACTGACAAAATGCCCGCATGTTACATAACATGAAATCATCCGTTTATCGGTTCAAACAATGGCCTTGAGAGATCATTCATCTCCTCTCATTCTGCAATGATTTCAGGTCTATTCTTGTTTAGCCCTTTCTTGGACTCCTTGAAACAAATTTGTAACCTTATCATGCTTTCTTATCATTTTCGAAAGACACTTTCATCCCTTCAAAATAAGTTTTCCCCCTGGTTCTCATTAAACTGCCAGTGGAACACATTCGGAGAATATATTTTAACGCAAAAAGCCACCTTAAACAAACTTTATCCAAGTTGGAAAACAATTCCACAGGCAAAAAGCCAAAATTTTGTATGAGCAAACACTAAGGCTGTTTCTTAAAAAAAGATCAACATATTTAATTCAATAAAATTCTCCATTAACATGGATACTTTAATTTTATCTGTAAGATAAAAGTTAAAATCATTAACTTCAAATTGGAAAAAATGAAATTAGGGTCATATCATAAATATTGTTTATCAACTCATCTGACTAGATCAAGATATTGTTAAGTATTGTTAAGTGTTCATAATCACCCAAATTGATATAACTAGAATTATTAAAAAAAAACTAACCATAACTGGAGCTAGGTAAAATATAGAAATTGTTTCTGAAAAAATCTTTGACCTAAAATACATGTCCACACAGCATTTTTCTTGCAGGCTGATTAGATCAAGCCCTTTGTCGATGTTTTTGGTTTAATTCAATGTTCTCTGTTTCTTTCTGACTCCCACGGTTCCACTGCAGAGGAACCAGTTCAAACATAGATTACTAACATGGTCATAATCTTGTCTAGCATGTTTCTGTCTGTTGTGATATTTGACAATCCTAAGTTGACCAACTATGGTTCTTGCAGCCTCTAAGTCACCTCTGCTTTTCAGGGAGCAAATCGCAAGCCCATGCATATTGGTACCATAGATATCCTGACCTGGAATGAGGCATAACTGTTGTTTTGAACATTACATCACAGCTGAGTCTAGCTCTTCACATACAACATTGCAGCCAGGGTTCCAAGACCCAGTGTTGTGTAAAGAATACTGTTCCACCAAAATTTCTCACTCTCTGCTTTGACATCTTTAAACTGCTCACAAAATGCATCCTATTGATATGAAAAAAATGTTAAAAGCTTGTTAGCAAACAATGATGGACTTTATGGCTAAAAATAAAAAAAAAGCTATAGAATTTGCTAAAGACAGGATTAGACAGGTTTCAAAAGGAAAAAATTTGCCCTATAATGTGCTTTGACTGTAAGTAAATAAGAACAGAGTCCCTCAAAGCAGTGGATTTTTTGCCACTTTTTCATGACTTTGGAAGTATAAGGAAGCAGAAAAAGAAATATAATTATCAACCACAGAAGATCAAGGTTATGCTGCATCTAATCCAAAACTGTTTAGGAATTTCAGTTTTTTCCTCTTGGGAATAATTCAAAGAGAGCGTCCGCTAATTCTCGGAAAACATTTACATTGTTCACAAGCTCAATACAAAAGCCCCTTGAAAAAAGTATGTGAAGAATGGTTACACCCCGCTGAAAAAAATAAACGGTTTTAATACTTCAAAGGCTAGTGAAAAAATACTGAATCGCTGTTTTTCTGTCTATTTTGGCTTTCAGTACTTAATCTAGGTACTTCGTAAGAGATCTGAACTACAGAACAAAGGCCATCAACGTGACTGGGCAAAGTCAACGTGACGAACAACGGAAGCAGCGATCATCGCGTGATATAAGACCAAAAAAGTGGTTCCATCGTTTCTGGCAAGAAAGGGAACTTTTATATTTCGATCGGGCCGCTATCAATAATCTTCTTTTGCCATTCAGTTCGGCTTATCAGCGACAAAATCTTACAACGAAGTTGCGGTAAAAAGGCGTAGGGAATATAAATATTCAAAACTTTCACTAACTCGAAATAATTGCACGTAACTTAGTTTCGTGTTGAATGAGGATTTACAAAAGAGAGCATGATAGTCTCAAAACCCTGAAATAATCGCCTTTTTCTGAAAATATTTCCTGCAAACATTCCTCGAATGATTTTAAACCTAAGATGACTCTATCTCTAAGGGTTTCCAGAACCAGCTGCCCTTTATAAATAATTCAAACATTTCCAGTCACTTTGGGCTTCCATTGAAACTTCCCGTGGGAAAAAACCGAAATTTACCAAAATTTTCTTCCCGTTTCACTATAGCAAAACTTCCCGTTAACCATTTTGAGTTTATACAGGATGGGAAAAAGGAGGAAACCGAAAAATTACTTGTTACCTTTTTTTCATCGTGTCGAGAATCGATTGATGTGGCAACGAACAAGGTTTAGCATAAACGTAAATTTACGCGAATAAGACTCTCATATATTAAAAGCTTTTCACTAACCCATCCTCCAGATTTCCTGATCCATTCATTGAGTTTTCTCTCGCTGACATATTCAGCAAGCCATCTTACAATATCGTCGACGATATTAATGTCGTTTTGGCTGCAAAATACAGCAACTTCAGCGGCAAAGCAGTACAAAACTACGATACGTCCCCAATTGATTTCTGTGCTGAAAATTTCCTCCGCGACGCCTCTAAAAGTGTCTTCAACATTAGCTGTTCTAAGATGTAGCCTTTCGCACATATTTTTCAATAAAACTTCATGCCTTCTCTCCACTTCTCCACCAACTCTCCGCAAAATTGCAGCAACTCTTGTGTTAGCTTTGTGCGACTCCATTCCCAATTTGTGGAAGTAAATATAGTCGCAGGCAAGATCGTGAGTGTATTTTTCGTCTTGAGTTTTCATTCTTCTGTTTGTGGAGAGGTTCGGTGTATGACTGACTTCAGCGGGTGCCATCTTAAAAGGGTTTGCGAGATAAATAACGTCGATTCAATAGGAGCAGTCCGAACTACGACTCTGTCGCTTCAGCCCTGTTTTAGATGGTTAGCGTAAAGTCTGTTTCCTTTATTGGTTAGAAAGGAATACAAAATGCTTCCATCTGATTGGCTGATAAATTTAGAACAAATGCTTTCTCTGAAATTTTATCTCCCTGTTGCTATGGTCAAATGTCAATGACGTAACCCCCTTGTGCAGTACCTCACGTACACACAGCCGCGAAAAATCGATCCATAAATAACTTCTCAGAAGCGAAATTAATTCTCGTTGAAAAACCAGTTCTTTTCCCCTTTTTTTCTTTGTTTATACAGTACAAGTTCAAATGAAAAACAAGTTTCTTACGAATTAAACCGCGAAAATTTGGAATTCGTCAGCGATTCGAGGGTAAACAAGGAAATATTTCAATAACCGTAACGATCGCCCACTGCAGCACGAATTGATACCGATTGTTGACAATCCGGTGTAACCAAGCAGATCGAAAACCAGAAATTAAACCTTTAACCTTTCTTTCAGTGCAGTTTTGCATACTAACAGGGAAAGTGGGTGCTTTGATGTGCCGCTTTCCGTGTGGAACGTGTCAGTCTTTCATTTGGGCGAAGTTACTGGTATTCTTCAAAATTCTCTAAGACAATAGGACTTTTTCTTAATGGTAGTTTCAGAGTTAAGAAAAAAAGTCTACTCCACTAACACAAATGTTTGAAGGTGTCTTACAAAGCGTTTGATATGTCTCGCAGCATTGTACTGTAAATATTATATATGCATAAATTTTAAGTTCTGCCAAATTTCACTAAAAATCCTTCGCAGCTGCAAATTTCGTTTTAGAAACAAACCCCCTTACCCAAGGGCTATAATAAACCCGTATCTTTCTGAAACTCTGAAACTGTAAATATTTCCTGACGGAACTGATAGAAATTCTTTTGTCGAATGATTCAGACCGGATGTAGCGCTATCAGGTCTGTAAGGGAAGTGCTAGAGAACGACTTTCAGTTTCTGAAGCGTTGAAGAATGAAAGGCGATAAATTTTCGCACAGCCCCATACTATTGAAAAACAAATCTGTTTTCACTGTTGAATAAAGGAGTAAGTTTCTAAAGAAACTGTGGTGCTGCGTCGGTGGGAGAGTATAGCAGGTAATTTCAGGTGTTAACAACTGAGTTGAAAACGTAAATTAGCCACCGTAAAGGGTAAAAAAGCTGACGTTTCGAGCGTTAGCCCTTCGTCAGAGCAATTGGATCCAAATTACCTCTTTTCCCAATGGTAATGTATTGTTGTTGTCATTGTTTTCTCTATCCAAGAACTGAATGTATAATGATGTATAATGTAGTACGGGGGTTGTGAGGAAATTTTACCTGAAAGGTTACAATGTGGTTGTCTAGTCGGCCAGCAAGGAAGGCTTGAGATCTCGGACACACTTCCGCCTACGACAGCCAATCAATGTAAAGATAATTTCCCCATGCCCTCAATTTCCGCTTTGCTCCCCCTTTTTTTTTTTTTTTTGCTTTTTTTTTCGTTGCGAATTCAATGCGACTGTCGTCGTGGACGTAGAAACTTTCGATTTCGAACGCCAGCTATTTATATTCGGACCCAAAATTTATTGCGCCACGCATACATTTTTAATGATTTTACTGACGCACAAAATCTACTAAGAGGCAGGTGAGTGTTCCAAAAATATCTTGCAATTCATCAATATTTCAGTTTCCTGGGATACTGCACAGAGCAATTTTCTGTATTATCTCATGAATTAAGAAGCAAAGCAAACGACTTCGTGTTTCAGAGGTCAGTCCGGATCATTTTGAAATGTACCACAAAATTTTCAACTTTCGATTCGCTAAGCTAATTTATTTCATCGCTCACCGCTCTGCTACCCTGGGAATGCCGTTTCCGTCAGTTGATTAAGTCAGTTTATAGTCTGTAAAGCTTCAAGAGGACTAATACCGCAAATTGCATTTTTATCTCGTATGGAACTATAATAGATGGAATGTCTGGTGTCAGAATTTGAGAACCGACGCAAAAACGAAAAGGTTAAATCTTTCCAGGGTCATTTAAAAAGGAAAAAAAATCTGATGGATACACAAAAAATAAAACATAAAATTACAACTTCGCGGTGTGGGATATCCTGCCCGGCTAGCATTGATTTCGTTTACATAATGTTCTTAACCTTTAGACTCATCAGCACTGAAGGTATTGATGTATTGTAATATGGGACTGCCCCATAAATCACTCTTTCATTATCTGCTCTTTTCGATTCTTTCGTCAGCATTTCTTTCCGTGAGGAAAGCGCCGAAAGATATCAACCCGGTTAAGGCTGAAACAGTCGCTTAATTAACACGTACCCAGACTTCGCTTGTATGAAAAATAGAGCGGTCAAACGTCTGCGCATATGCAAACGTTGAAAAGCAGAGGCCGAGCCTAGGGCTGTCGTAAGGCTGTAGTGACTAAGTTGTCCCAGCCTAGAGGAGTTACAGAGAACCTTACAAACCAGTAAGTCAAGGGGTAGCCTATTATATTAAAAAAAAACTGGTAAATCAACTGGTTGCCCGGGTCAATAATTAACAGCTTACACCGAAAATAAAGGTCATACTAATTCATTTGGAAAGATTACCGTCAAACTTCGAGTTTTGATTTAAGAGAGTACATAAGCACCTTCCAATTGAAGCACCCCGTAGATGAGAAATTATTCGAAAGAACTACACCACTAAACAGTACGTTAATATACAATAACCTCCATTTAGCGCGAAAATATGCACGGATATTTGTCTGTGGACATTGAATGTTCCGAGATGCGAACGGTTTTCCGATAACGAAGTTCGAGGAAAACTGTGGTCTTCGACAAATTTACGAGCATATCTCTGTGCCAAATTGAGGCTATTGTGTTTATTACTCTTCAAGTATTTTTTCAACACACGGTTGAAACGTTACGAACAGCCTCTTGAGAGAGATGTTTAGTTTTCATTGTTCTCTGGTAGCACTGAAAGAAGATAAAAATCTTGTCCCTTCTTTTGTGACTATAGCTAAACTCTTATTCGTCTTGAATTAAATTTCAAACAAACTCTTTTTATCAGTGAAGACGTAATGTTTGAAAATTGGGTCGAATATAACTTGGGGTATATCCACGGGTATCCCCCCAGTTTTAGGTGGAGCAAATTTGATCACATGATGTAATCAGCTGCGTCCGAGAAAAAAATATGCAATGGATTATTATAAAAACTATCTCCTTTTGCGAAGCAATATTATCCGGTGATAGGTAAATTAATAACAAGCTCGAAGAACATACTAATAGTGAACTGGAACTGGACAAAAAACAAATCTCAGAGAAATGTTTTAAAACCCTCCCCATCTCATCAAATCGAAATCGGTAAACCCGACATTTGCCGTATGCCTTTGTCAAGAAGTTAAAACAAACTGAAGGAGCCACACTGACCGCCTCGTTAGCACCATTTTAGAACTTTCTATGAAGCTCTTTGCCTAAAAAAGAGTTAGGAAGCTATTACAAAGAAGTCAGTTTATCAATTTTCCATTGGCATCACTGTTATCAGGAGCCCATAATGGGCTCCTGATGTTATTCAATATTACGAAGTTTTCAAACCTAGAAATCAAATATTCATTTTTCATCCACACCTAGCATTCATTACTCAGGGCAAGTAAACTTCGGATCCAAAGACTGTTTTTGTATTAAATTAAACGACTTACATTCCTGTCAAGGGGCTTCACGTTTCCAAGGCAACCTAAACAAATCCTCGCTCTTTTATGCCGTTTTATTTATTCTTATAAGTGGACAACGATTACAATCTCCACGCGTGTTCATGTCAAAAACATTGCAGTCTGTACGATGTTGGCTTCGGAAGACATGGCCACACGTTGGAAAACGTTTACCAAATAATTTTATGCTAAATGTTACCAGCGACCTTCTCACGAAAGACTCAGAGCCTCTTGCAGAAAACTGTTTCATTTGGAAGAAAAGTTTTCTACGTTGTGTCGAGGAACAAAGAGATGCGATTCAGAGGGAGTAGATCGCTTGCGATTTCCGTAGCATCTTTTACCCTTGGATGTGTTGTTACCCATTTTTTATGTTCGTATGACGATTTACCCATAAGGCTGGAAACGAATGAAGCATTGGAAGCTGTGTTAAACGATCCTTCTCCGTCGATTTTCAACCTGGAAACTACTAAGCCGGAACTTTTCCACCCGCCTGAGACTGTGAATACTCACGAGGAAAATGATCAGCCAGTTACGACAGCTCCGAAACCAACCTTACCCCCCTACCCACCGTTGTTAAACAGAACAGCAGTAGTTCTTACTCCTTCCACCTGCAATAAAGACACCTTTCTCATTATAATTATTGTTTGCTCCAGCAAGGATTTCGAAGCGCGAAAGGCTGTGAGATCTTCTTGGGGTAAAACCATATCGGAAGTGAAACGTTTTAATTCGAACTCCACCTATGAACAGTTTCAAGTTTTCTTCGTGATCGGAAGCGACGAAATAAACGACGAAAGAGTCGAAGAGGAATCGCAACGTTACGATGATATTATACGCGGTAATTTCATGGACACTTATGCGCAAATAAATGAGCTCCACACGGTGAAGACCCTTTTGGGGCTTAAATGGGCCACCACGATATGTGACCCACAGTACGTATTGAGAGTCAACGCCGAGTCTTTCGTTAACGTTCAAGAGACCATTGGATGGCTGCATTCATTAGGCAGTGACAGTGAGTTAAAGCATAGGGAAGGTTTGTATACAGGGCATCGCCACACTTTGTCCTCTGGTGGAGTGAAGGTGATTAGAAACCCTCTCAGTCCTTACTTCATCCCAGAAGACCAATGGTCCGATGATCTCCTTCCAAGTTACGTGTCAGGAGTTGGTGTCGTCCTCTCGCGGGATGTTGCTGAAAAAATGGTGCACACTGCCTCGGAGGTAATCTATCATTCTCCCTCGAATTTTTATGATTTCTATGTGTTACTGTTGACACATCGTTTCTAAGGACAGAAGAATTTGCAAGTATGACAAAAGTGGCACAAAAGCGTTGTCAAGCTCATCCTTTCCTTCGTCACAACACAGTTTTATTCTAAATAATTTGTCTACCATGTATTACCTTTTTTTTTTCGACGAATTCATTAAATTAATAAAATGAATAAGTATGCTAGAGGATTTGTTGCGGAGAGACCTGTGCGCTCATTGACCAAAGCGAAGGGCCGGACGGGAAACTGTTGTGAAACTTGTGGTCAATGACGTACACAGGCGGCCCAAGCTCCAACTGTGGGATGATCATCTTGCGAAATGTAAGAGTCATGGCAAAATTTTGAGAGTTTGCACGGGAATATTTACGACCGCTCTTAGGAATAATAAAAAAAATACAGTCAAATTCTCAATAAAAACACCTCACCTTACTTCCACAGTGCATCACTTGTTATCTCAGGCTGACCGCCCACTATGATGAAAAGAACCCATTTTAGCGAGTTATCGATTTCTAGGTTCACTCCGTACATAGGAGAAGCATGTGTACGTAGTAAACCTAGAAATGGACAACTCGCTAAAATGGGTTCTTTTCATCATAGTTAGCGGTCAGATAACAAGCGATGCACTGTAGAAGTAAGGTGGGGTATTTTTATTGAGAATTTAACGGTGCGGTTCTGTACGGATCAAATGACAAAAACTCTCATAGCATTGACCAGATCCATTACGACACAGGGCGCAGGATTGCTTTGAACCAGCGCACTTGCTAGCCTTCCGTGTCTACACCTTCCCTAATAGCATATCTATTTCCACAACTCAGAGGCGAATCCAGGGGGAGAGGGGTTTTTTGTTTTCTAAATGTAAGTCTAGGTCCCACCCTTCCCCCCCCCCCCCCCCGTATTCGCTCATGCCACCTTATTTCGTTACCACGCATGCCACATAATTTCAAATCTAATTTTTTTGTTTTTTATACGTTTTTTTTTAGCTGAAATTGATTCATATTGATGACGTCTTTCTTGGTGTAATGGCAAAGAATCTTGACATTGCAGTGTCGGACCACAGTCCTCGTTTCGACATCGCATACACCACTATGCTGACGGAGTGCAAAGATCTTCATTTTTGCGTCATCGGCGGCGTTCCTACCAAGGATATGTTCTATCTGCATCAAAACGTGCACCATCTTAGATCTATTTGTGCTACGGACGGGCCAAAATTGCAAGTGTGACTTCTTTGAACCTTACACCTTAACATCAGTAGGCATATTCTCCATACTGCTCTCCAAGCATTTCCTATAAGGTGCTGACAAGGAGAATTTGTTTAACAATCAAGAGCTTCTTTATTTTAGTGACCTTTTCCTTTATTCTCGTGATTTTATCGTTAAATACACAACAAAGCATCTCAGACGTACCTTATTTGTCGATGGCGAATGCTTTTTTAGGTAGGAGTTTATTGAGTATTGCGCTCGCTCAAAACTCCTGCATCTTTCAAAATATTTCATGGAAAATTAAAGACTTAAATTTCAAAGTACTAAAAAAAATAATCAATTCGGTTTTTATGTTACAACTATTGTTAAAAGTAATCAGTTCAACAGAAATATAAGGCTCCTCCCAAACGAAAGCATTTGGGATAATGCGCTGCGGGGACGTAAACATTAGGATTAGAACTGAATGATTTGTCCTTGGCTCGTACGGTTGCGAAAAAGCATGTGCCAACGCGAGAAATGATTTAAGTTTCTAGAATAGAGAGATCTGGGGATAATTTTGTTGAACTCTTCGGAATTCTTCTATGCTCTGGCAGCCAATCTGAGCCCTGGAGTCGCTTCATGCTTCCCGCTCATGGAGCCAGGAATACTATGTCTTAGGTGTATTTTGTTTTCGTCCTGTTCAAGAAAGTCTACAAGAGAATTTTCCTTAATTTTCAGTCACATCGTGTCACTATCAAAAAATCGAAGAAGGACTGGCTATGAGAATCTAAGTGCCTGGGGATCCGGTCATTTTTTATCTTCGGGGGGGGGGGGGAAGTTTTTTGTTGTGTTACAATAAAATTTACTTGATCCCCCCTGAAGCTCTGTAGTATTCTGATGCCCCCCCCCCATTGGCAGTAAATTTCCTGTAGCTTCCACTTTATACTCTGTTAGCAACTGATCCCCTCTCCATTCCCTCTAAAAACCATGCATCCCCCCCAGAATCCTACACCCCCCCGGCAATTGATAATGGCTTATCCCTTATTTGGACTGATGAAAATATGAGAAGCCCTTCATTTCATTCCATGACAGATATAATTGCTTTTTCAATTAACACTGTAGATATGAAAATTTAATTGATTACAGCAAAGGACATGGTGTGGGAGACAAGTTCAGACAGAAATTATTACAATACCTGAAATCTTATAAAGTTCGGTTGAAACTTTCGAACTAGAATTTTACTGTAATTAACTTTTTGAGTCCTATGATGCCATGTTTTTTTTTTTTTTACAAAAATTATATGTGCGTGGTTTGTCCCTTTAAAACCGATACAAGGAAGTAACTGATTTGAGCTCAGACGTTCTCCTACAAACTTGACTCTGAGGCCATCAACGAAAATCAATCTGCTAAGAAATCTGCCTGACTAACTAACTGCCCCTCTGAATGGCAACTCAAATCTTCATTGCTCTAAACGAAAAACGAATAATTCAGTCAGATAAAAAATTTTTAGCGTTACAGGAGGACTGATATATATACGGGGCATGGAAACTGTAAACCTGAAGTTTCGTAAATCCTAAGTTTCTGAGATGTTACGACTTATTCCTTGGCAAAAAAAAATATATCGAAACCTTTTGTCATCATACCCCAATTGATAAAACGTTTTTTTTTTCATCATACTTGAAATAACATATGTTTTTACAGTTTGAGTAATTTCAACCTTAAAAAATCTTTGGAACTCTTCACATTGGATGTGTAGCATAAACAAATAGTGAGTATAATTTTTCCACCCGTCTCATCGCTTTTAAAAAGCATTTTCTTACAATTTGCTTAGTTTTAGCAACAAATTGCTTTCAGATAACAGTTTAGTAAAAATTTACTTACTTTGATTAAAAAAATGTGTTCACTTTCGAAAAAAGAAAGCTCCGAGTAAAACGTTGATAAACACTACTTTATGAACTGTCTTGGTCCAGATTGTTAAAAGTTTGGTAGTGTAGCCAGCCTATAAACCCGTTAGCCTGGGCCTACAATTTTTTTCTGCCTGTTTGACTTTTATAATATGGCTCTTGCAAATGTTGAAACTAAAATTAAACTTCCTTGGAGAACAGGCCTGCAACAAGTCCAAAAGGTGGCTACGCTCCTGATTCCTTACAAACACGATGTGCAGTGACAACAACTGATTACCGCAAGTTCAGGCTCGCAGATGTCTTTCGCAGATGGCTTCTTCTTATTACACGGTGGCAATTGACAGTTATGAGCCTTACTTCAGTCCAATACACTTATTTACCAGGGTCTCACTTGACTCATGGTTATTTGGTTCAGTGGACGACACAGGCCAATTTCCAAAATCAAATGTCACGTTGTCGCCAATCAGCATAAAAGGAGCCCACTTAGAGACTTCTTCAAAGCCATTGTTTCTCATCCATTTCCTGGCTTCGTGAAGAGATTCACTGGCGCTTTCACCGCGGAACAAGTGCTCGTAGAAACAAGTCATGAACTTCTCTGTGGCTGTGTCATCTAAGGCCCACCGTGCCGCCAACACTGAGCGAGCACCGGATCCTAAGAACGCTCGAGCGATTCCAATAACTCCCTCGGCTTTAATCTGTCCATGTGCACTGTGAGAACAGCTTAGTACCACCAGTTTAGCTCGCAGCTTAATTCGTGAAATGTCCGCCATCGTCAAGAGGTAGGCTTCTTCTTGTGGAAAACAGTGAGCGGGACGCTCTGGGGAAAGGACAATCTCTCCTGGTTCAGCATCATGGGCAGCTAAATGGATCAAACTCACTGAATGTATTGCTTGAAGCACAGCCTTCTTTGTCGCACGATTTCCAATCAAAGGTGTCACACCAAGAAGTCCTCCAATCATCTCTGCTTCCTTTCTTGTACTTGGCAATCGTATTAGATTCACGCGTCTTCCCTTGTAAAACACCTCTCCCACCTCAGGGTCACCCACTATCAGTGCGCCTGTCTGACTGTGACATTGTGGGGGGCTGTCTTGAATGAGCTTGAGCGTCGTTAAAGAGGGAACGATGCGCAGTCTGAATGTATCCGACAAAAACTTTCCTCCTTCGTCAGTTAAGGCCGCAAATGGTACCTGGTACATACAGGAATCAGGGACAATGATAATTTCGGGCTCTTTCAGTAAATCGGCCACAGGAGCGATGATTATCTTGTGGCACAAGCGAAGATCACCCAGGAGCCTGCGGAAGCTTTCTATAAGAAACTCATCCAAACCAGGGACTAGTCCGGTCACAACGTTTTGGTCAAGTCTCACTTTCTTTTCCAAAAACAGGATGGCGCTCGTTGCTTGGAGAATCCAAAACCGCACTTGGTCTTCATCAACCGAAAGGTAGAGGCATGTGCATTCTGTTTCTTTTGTGATAATTTCCTGGATGCCACTCCATGATTTTGGATTGGCAGAGATCTGCTCTTTTACTGGGTACCGAGCCGCCATCAAGTCGGCTAAGCCCCTCCCCCGTCTCAGCTCCTCGACATAGAGGGCGTCTTGTGGCTTTGCCGTGGAAGAAAGCAAGCTACTGAGCAACTTGTAGGGAATGGTGCCGTGCTCCTCCAAAAGTGATGTTTTAAACTGATCCTCGTCTTCAAGGGAATCTCGCAAAGTGTCGAATACTTCAATGCTTTGGTAAATATACGTAAAGGCTTCTTCAAGATCATCTTGTGATACTTTCAACACTGTTAGAGCATTAAGGCATTGAAATTCATGGAAGTTGTGTCCAATATCCCTGCTCAAGAAGAGACCCTTCGTGAGGTATTCCTCGGCCATGTCATATTTACCGAGCGATCGGAAACACAATCCTAAATTTAAGAAGGTGATCACAACTCCTTCTTTCCTACCATTTTCCATGTGAATTTCAAGGGCTTTCTTGTGATATTCTAAAGCAACGTCGTACTCACCACGCTTATGACAAATTTTCCCTTGGTATCCGAAATGTACTGCTTGTCCTTCTCTGTCGCCGATTTCCCTCCAAATTGCAATCGCTCTCTTTAGAAAATCGTCAGCCCTTGCATATTTACCGAGGGACAGAAACAAAGATACAAGGTTTCCAAAAGTGTCTGCCACTCCTTTTCTGTCACCAATTCTCTTGTAAATAGATAGAGCTTTCTCCAGGTATTCTCGAGCCCAATCATAATCGCCAAGCGTTTGGAGCAATATTCCAAGGTTTGCATAGCTTCTTGCCTCTCCGTCTCTGTCATCAACTTCAACACTGATAGCGAGTGCTTTCTCTTGAAATTCTCGGGCCTTGCCATATTTACCGAGCGATGTGAATACTGTTCCGAGGTTTCCGTAGCTTCTTGCCTCTCCATTTCTGTCGCCAATTTCTACACTGATAGCGAGTGCTTTCTCTTGAAATTCTTGGGCCTTGTCATATTTACCGAGCGATGTGAATACTGTTCCGAGGTTTCCGTAGCTTCTTGCCTCTCCATTTCTGTCGCCAATTTCTACACTGAGAGAGAGTGCTTTCTCTTGAAATTCTTGGGCCTTGCCATATTTACCGAGCGATGTGAATACTGTTCCGAGGTTTCCGTAGCTTCTTGCCTCTCCATTTCTGTCGCCAATTTCTACACTGAGAGAGAGTGCTTTCTCTTGAAATTCTTGGGCCTTGCCATATTTACCGAGCGATGTGAATACTGTTCCGAGGTTTCCGTAGCTTCTTGCCTCTCCATTTCTGTCGCCAATTTCTACACTGATAGCGAGTGCTTTCTCTTGATATTTTTGGGCCTTGTAATATCTACCGAGCGATGTGAATAATGTTCCGAGGTTTCCGTAGCTTCTTGCCTCTCCATTTCTGTCGCCAATTTCTACACTGATATAGAGTGCTTTCTCTTGATATTCTTGGGCCTTGTCATATTTACCGAGCGATGTGAATACTGTTCCGAGGTTTCCGTAGCTTCTTGCCTCTCCATTTCTGTCGCCAATTTCTACACTGATAGCGAGTGCTTTCTCTTGAAATTCTTGGGCCTTGTCATATTTACCGAGCGATGTGAATACTGTTCCGAGGTTTCCGTAGCTTCTTGCCTCTCCATTTCTGTCGCCAATTTCTACACTGATAGCGAGTGCTTTCTCTTGATATTCTTGGGCCTTGTCATATCTACCGAGCGATGTGAATACTGTTCCGAGGTTTCCGTAGCTTCTTGCCTCTCCATTTCTGTCGCTAATTTCTACACTGATAGCGAGTGCTTTCTCTTGAAATTCCTGGGCCTTGTCATATATACCGAGCGATGTGAATATTGTTCCGAGGTTTCTGTAGCAGTCTGCCTCTCCATCTCTGTCGCCAAGTTGTATTTTGATTGCAAGTGCTTTCTCCAGGCATTCTTGAGCCCTACCGTAACTGTTAAGTGTTTGGAACAATATTCCAAGGTTTGCATAGCTTCTTGCCTCTCCATTTCTGTCGCCAATTTCTATACTGATAGCGAGTGCTTTCTCTTGATATTTTTGGGCCTTGTCATATCTACCGAGCGATGTGAATAATGTTCCGAGGTTTCCGTAGCTTCTTGCCTCTCCATTTCTGTCGCCAATTTCTACACTGATAGCGAGTGCTTTCTTTTGAAATTCTCGGGCCTTGTCATATTTACCGAGGGATGTGAATACTGTTCCGAGGTTTCTGTAGCTTCTTGCCTCTCCATCTCTGTCGCCAATTTCTACACTAATAGCGAGTGCTTTCCAATGAAATTCTCGGGCCTTGCCATATTTACCGAGCGATGTGAATACTGTTCCGAGGTTTCTGTAACTTCTTGCCTCTCCATCTTTGTCGCCAATTTCTACACTAATAGCGAGTGCTTTCTCTTGAAATTTTTGGGCCTTGTCATATTTACCGAGCGATGCGGATACTGTTCCCAGGTTTTCGTAGCATTTTGCCTCTCCATCTCTGTCGCCAAAATGTGTTTTGATTGAAAGTGCTTTCTCCAGGTATTCTTGAGCCCCACCATAATCGCTAAGTGTTTGGGACAATATTCCAAGGTTTGCATAGCTTCTTGCCTCTCCGTTTCTGTCGCCAATTTCTACACTGAGAGCAAGTGCTTTCTCTTGAAATTCTCGGGCCTCGTCATATTTACCGAGCGATGTGAATACTGTTCCGAGGTTTCCGTAGCTTCTTGCCTCTCCATCTCTGTCGCCAATTTCTACACTAATAGCGAGTGCTTTCCAATGAAATTCTCGGGCCTCGTCATATTTACCGAGCGATGTGAATACTGTTCCGAGGTTTCCGTAGCTTCTTGCCTCTCCATTTCTGTCGCCAATTTCTAAACTGATAGCAAGTGCTTTCTCTTGAAATTCTCGGGCCTCGTCATATTTACCGAGCGATGTGAATATTGTTCCAAGGTTTGCATAGCTTCTTGCCTCTCCATTTTTGTCGCCAATTTCTATACTGATAGCGAGTGCTTTCTTTTGAAATTCTCGGGCCTTGTCATATTTACCGAGGGATGTGAATACTGTTCCGAGGTTTCTGTAGCTTCTTGCCTCTCCATCTCTGTCGCCAATTTCTACACTAATAGCGAGTGCTTTCCAATGAAATTCTCGGGCCTTGCCATATTTACCGAGCGATGTGAATACTGTTCCGAGGTTTCTGTAACTTCTTGCCTCTCCATCTTTGTCGCCAATTTCTACACTAATAGCGAGTGCTTTCTCTTGAAATTTTTGGGCCTTGTCATATTTACCGAGCGATGCGGATACTGTTCCCAGGTTTTCGTAGCATTTTGCCTCTCCATCTCTGTCGCCAAAATGTGTTTTGATTGAAAGTGCTTTCTCCAGGTATTCTTGAGCCCCACCATAATCGCTAAATGTTTGGGACAATATTCCAAGGTTTACATAGCTTCTTGCCTCTCCGTTTCTGTCGCCAATTTCTACACTGATAGCAAGTGCTTTCTCTTGAAATTCTCGGGCCTCGTCATATTTACCGAGCGATGTGAAAACTGTTCCGAGGTTTCCGTAGCTTCTTGCCTCTCCATTTCTGTCGCCAATTTCTAAACTGATAGCGAGTGCTCTCTCTTGAAATTCTCGGGCCTTGTCATATCTACCGAGGGATGTGAGTACAGTTCCGAGGTTTCCATAGCTTCTTGCCTCTCCATTTCTGTCGCCAATTTCTAAATTGATAGCGAGTGCTTTCTCTTGAAATTCTCGGGCCTTGTCATATTTACCGAGGGATGTGAATACTCTTCCGAGGTTTTCGTAGCATTTTGCCTCTTCATCTCTGTCGCCGACTTCTATTTGGATAGTGAGAGTTTTTCCCACGTAATCTCGAGCCATGTTATATTCGCCAAGCGATCTGAAAAATTTGAAAAAACAGGTGTAATTTTTGTTCTTGTTATAAATTAGCACCGTTAGCATAATCAGCATATTTTTAAGTTTTTTTTTTTGCGGAGGAAACATCCCCAGAGTCATGATTTGATTAGTCTCTAAGATTGACTATTTGCAAGTTTGGTCATTCGTTTAGTCAATTTTTAATTTTGCAATGTCTTGAAGGAAGAAGGATTACCCCAATACTGAGTCGTTTGTCGTCTAGAGCTAGAGGACTACGCACATTGGAAAAATGTGATATGTCAACTAGGACCTAAAGCAGCGAGCAGCGGTTTCTTCAGCAAATAGCTCCTCTTTTGTAGGTCGGTTCAGAAGGTACATTATCTTAACCTGTTAAGTTTCCGCTTCGTATTTGTCAAATTTTGTTCGTTAAGATTCTTGAATCCTCAAAAGAATTTTGCATGTCACACGTTTCTGGTGCAATTCATGTTTCACGCTTCACGAATGTCACATATACCGTATTCGCTAGCACAAAATTCATTGGTAGTGAAGGGAGCTCTGAGAATGACAGGAAATAAACCCTGATTGTATCAGATCACTCGACATAAATTGGATTTAAACTGTTTTGGAAGTAATAACGCAAATCATTGAAGTGTTCATAACATTGTCTAGAAAATAATTGAGGTGTTTATTGCAATGTCATGCAAATCGTAGAGGTGTTAATTACAATGTCACGCAAATCGTAGAGGTGTTTATTACAATGTCACGCAAATCGTAGAGGTGTTAATTACAATGTCACGCAAATCGTAGAGGTGTTAATTACAGTGTCACGCAAATCGTAGAGGTGTTTATTACAATGTCACGCAAATTGTTGAGGTGTTTATTACAATGTCATGCAAAATGAAACTGATTACGTCAGCATCAACTTACAGTTTTAAGCTAGAAATGTTCCGTGTTCATGTTGCTGCGGGCATTGAATCTTTCCCTGGAAAAAGGAAAACAAAAAATGGTAAATTACAGATGGCAATTGCTGGTTTTCAGTGTCACGCCATTCAAAATAGATCAAAATAAAAAATAAAAACCGTTCAATCGATTTAGTCTAGAATCTGGAAATAGAAAGAAGCTAGATATGTAAAGACTCTCGCCAAGATTCAGGTCACAGCAATTTTTCTTACGGAAGATATGAGGAGAAACGTTTTTCCCAAATTTATAGAGATTTGTATGGAGCCGCCATGCTGGTGCCCACCTAGATGGGCACCAACATGGCGGCCGGAAACCAGCAGAAACATCTGTCACTGAGTTTTGCTACAAAAGCGTGAATTTATCTCTCTAAGAACTCATAAACGTAACAATAATACTTTATTCTAATACAAGAACTGTTCAGATAGCTGAATTTCCCTAAATAAGTCACCTTTTAAACCAACATAACAGCTCTCTCGCTCGTCATGTAAAGGCCACGTCACGCAAAAGCTTAGAAATTCAAGAGTAGTCTATCACTAAACCAAGAACCCATTTTGAGTGAAAATTTGTCTGAATATTAGTTTTTAGCTGCTCTAATACATCATGAAAGTAAAATCTCAGGAGGATCAATAGTTCTGAAGTCTGAAATTTAGTGACGTCACGTGAAAACCAGCAATAAGGTGAACCCTTCAAGTGGAACAAAAGCAAATAATTCATCAGAGGTATTGGTGAGGTCGATCTCACGCCAACTAAATACTTAAGGAAAAAACACATTTTAAGTTTGGAGTCAGGAGTTTCAGTTGTCAGTAATGCATTGATAATTTGACAACCTGCGAAAGTCGTATTTTTAGGTCAGCGGCTCCATCTCCGTCAGAAAGTTGCTCGCCAAAATTGCGGGCTCGATTCGGTGACGCCCATTTTGTTTTCTTTCAAGGAGCACGGGAAATAGCAACATTTTATCTTTTGCCACTTCAAAAATGATTAGTTATCCACCGTGTACTAGCAGTTAGTTTTCTGATGGCTCAGGGGACAAAATGTCACCAAATAATTTCATTCTTGTCAAACGATACCATCCTTTATTTTTTATATTCATGGAAAGATCCCTGTCCGCCATTGAAACAGATATTAGAATTTGCTGGTGACCTATTTGTTACAATTACGAAAAATTATCCGTTCACCATGCGAATGATAAGGAACTGAAACTCGCTGATGACTCGAAAAATTTCATTTTCAAGAAGTGTTTTCTGGCGGAGGGTAAAGGTGAAAATACTTGTAGCTCATGTTGTTTTCATGAAGTCACGTTATGGTTCAATTCATTTCGCAATTTTGTAAAATATGTATTATTGGTAAACCATTTGAACATAATGCATTACTTAAGGTACAAAACATGAGTTCCTGATCTTGTTCTTTGTCGTTTCTGATGATTTATCAGTTCCTATTTTCAGTGTTTCGTTATACGCTTTTGATCATAGTCTTCATTTTCCATTAAATCATCGATACTCGGTGGGAGGGGGGGAAGAGGAGGCAAGGGAGTTACTAGGTTGCATGTCATCCCCCTCCTCAGAAGTCATAATTGTCATACACTTTCATGTGCTCCTAAATTCCAATGACGTGTAGCCCCAAGATTTTGGAAAAGGGCTCATAAGTTTTGAAATATCTGTGTTATGTGTTATCAAGATAATAGACCATAGCAGCGAGAATATCATTTATGTCATTTGCTGCTAACAGAAGAGGTTATGTACTTTTGCTACAATGAACCCATGAGTTTCAAAATGCGGCCTGTTTGTGTATAGATATATTGTGTATCATTTAATGTCTTTTTTTCTGGCCATGCAAATCTCACCCATTAGAAAATGAAAAGAGTCAGTCATCACGCACAAATAACCTACCGTTGAAAGACAGAAGCTTCAAATACACTGTGATCGATCTTGTGATGAAAATCCAACCGTTCAAAAGCGATGAACTCTAAGTACTGACGTTCCCTGTAAAATAAAGTAACTTGTTCCATTTTACCATGCTCAAATCCATCATAGGTAATTAAATTAGACAAAAAAATACATTAATTAAAATGGAACTTCTTCTGTGATCTTCCTCCTCGAGATCGAAGGAAATGTATGAATATAATTTATCCTTCCTTAATATTCTGTGTTCACTTTTCCCGCAAGAAAATTACAGGCAAGTTTAGCTCGACAGTACGACTGTGGCAGGTAACTTTGAAGAGGTCGTATCAGCAGATAGCCATACAGAAATCAGTTTAATTAACCAGCACTTGTCAGACACGAAATGATGGCAGAAATTTCAATTTTGAACTGAAATGGCTTTTAAAACTTTTACTTCGATCTCGCTATTTGTGATTTTCCTTCCGTTGATAGACAATACTTTTCAGTCTTTATCGACAATATCATAATAGTCTTTCGTAAGGTCACTACATTTAATGATATAAAGGCAACAGCAGCAAATAAGTTGAATTGTGTCAGTTTTTTTGAAGCAGGAAGTACTTACCAAGATCTGCAGACCTCTGTGCCTTGCCTTAAATAAATCTACCCAGTATACCTCTGGTCGTCTTTAGAGTTTTCCCATCATTCGTAAGGCACATGAAACAGCCAATAGAATTCTGTCACTTTCGCAGTCACTCTCGTACCCAGGCCCACCATTTCCCCTGGCCGGCGGCTCAATTGCGCTTAACAAGTGGAAACCCGAGACATCAATTTTTTTTGTTGGAATTTTTTGGTTCCTACATACAGTGTATTTGTTTACAGAGCCTGCAGTGTGGCTCAAGGGCTTGGTGGTCCTGTATAACATGGACACCTGTGTAGTAATGAATCACGGGAATAAATGCGTGGCTACTAAGTTCCAGACAACAAGGAATCGTTTGCACTTATTTAATTCAGGAAATTGTTGCCGTTTTTCCTCAAGATTTATTTTCTTCTGCGCGAATTTTTAACACAATGACTCGTGAGTACTTTTTCCATGCTTTTCCGTATTGAAAACTTGGGGTTTGAAGTAAATCATTTGACGGTTTTTGGATAAATATGTAACATGTCGACTTGAAGCTTACCAAGCTTTAAAAAAGGGCTCTTTGTCGAGAAGCTGTAGTTAATTTTTTTCCTAATTATCTAGCTGATATTATTTAAGATTTACTGATCACATGCTTACTGATTAAGTTAAGTTTTCAAGCTAATAGGTAGTCAGTTTTCCCTCGTAATCTTTACATGGTTGTAATTTGTGCAAAATCGACATCAACAATGTCTTGCGATAACCTCGCTGACTCAGTCGAACTATTTCATAATAACTAATCCAAGGAATCCGATCTTACAGTTTGTAGCTAAAATTCGGAAACCTTTTTGTCAGTTCTAGGATATCTGAAAGAGCATGTAAAAGTGAATAGTTTAAATAATTAATCGATCAATGACTATATTTGCGAAGTGATGGCAGCCAAAAATACTCGATCTACAGTTTGATTTTTTTTTTCCAATGATGGAAAGTTTATTGAATAAATAGAGCCATTTTTCTTTCATATTTTCTTGTAAAAGCAGATTATAAAACTCCTTTATGAATTCCAGCAATGATGATATTTCTCATGTATGGTAAGGGTAGGAACACCAGTGCCTGTGTTTGGTTTTGAAACATGTTGTATGTTCAGATCCAAGATCATGGCTAAACCCAGGGTAGTCGATCAATAACTGTGATGATCAATCTAGAATTTAGTTGACTGTGTTAAAATTGATAATAAGTGATAAAGCTGTTGATATTTCAGTTTTAAGCTACTTTCAATTCTATTTCATCTAATTTACTGATAACAAACTTAAAGGAAAATTTTTCTAAGGAAAACAAAATGTGCTTAAAACTGAGAGACATTTGCAGGTACAGGAAAGGCAGTGGTCTAATTGTAAGTGTGAGACTTTCAAGTCAAGAGGTCTGGGTTCCACACCTAGCTGGGTCATTGTGTTCTTGAGCAAAACGCTTTCTCTCACAGTGTCCATCTCCACCCAGGAGTATAAATGGGTACCAGTAAAGGGATGAGGGGGGGAGGGGGGGAAGTAGTTAAACACCTAATTGCTTCATGCTGTGAAAACTGGGATAAGCTCTGGTTAGATGGGCCTCATGGCTTGAGTACAGACATTACCTACCAGTAATGTGAAGCTCTAGGTTGGGTTCCATTAAACATTGAAGGGGGAGTTGTGAGAAGGCCTTTTCTGGAATGTTCCAACATCTCTCCCAGCATGCACCTAGGGGTTGTTCAGTGGGTTGATCACTGGTTAACCCTTTGGCTATCAGGAGTGATTAGTGTGTTGATTCTCCTTAAAATTTTTAACAAGTGACAAGAATTAAGAAAATTATTAAGTAAGGGATATTGTTTGGATAGCATAGCAAATTCTCATGACTAGCCAAAAAGAAATGCATGGTCAGCTGTTGGGAGAATCATCTTTTAGATCATGGCTGTGAAACAGATATTCTCTGAAGGTGTGTGTGATTGTGGAAACATTTCTCTTGGATCTTCTTGGTCAGGTGGAAACCAGCGTGAATTGGCCCGTGCAAAAAACCTGAAGAAACAGCAGGAAATGGCAAAAAAGAAAGGAGGTGAAAGTGGTGAGGCTCTCAAAGCAAGAAAAGAAAGGTATGGAAATAGGAGTGATGCTTACATTTTTCAGTCTTTGCTAAAACTAACATCAATTTAGTTTTTTTTTGGCTAGCTCTACAGTATGGCAGGCAATTAATTATGATGCCAAGATGCAAATCAATGAGCAAAACGTCCTTGTGCATTATATCTTAAGCCATTGAATTAGTTATTTTGTATTCCACTATTATTTAATTTCCTAGTAGTTCTAGCTTTTAGTTTTCAAAATACTTCCTACAGCCTTATCTGAGCATTGTATTGATGGCAAAAGGAGTTAGTGAAAAGACAAAAAACAACACAAACTAAACCACTAATTAAAAGTGTTTTTTTGAGACCCAAAAAAATCTGATGATCTTAAAGTTTGTTTCTTTTAAAGTAAAGCCCCAAAAAACAAGAAAAGAAATCAAAGTGTGAAGAGTTCAGTGCAGCCATTTTATTGCACCTTTCTCTGTCTGTATTTCTGCCTTTTTGTATAGTGTATATGTGGTAAAACTAGTGTATTAAAATGGTAGTCAGTTCATAACTTGAACATTTACGCCTCTTGTTGCATGAGAGGGAGGTATGCTGTATTTCATTGCCTTCATAAGTTCATTTTCTGTTTGCTTTTGCTTTTAGGGATGCAGCTATGATGAGAGAAAAACAGAAAAAAGCAGAGGAAAAACAAGCTTCTGGTGCATCTGGAGGTGCAAAGAAATAAATTTTGTGTTCGAGAAATTTCTAGCTAATGAGAACTTTTCTACACTGCTTAAAAAGTCTATGTTAGTACTCTCTTGAAACATAACTGGAACTCCTAAAATATGGATACTCACATCAAAGACAATAGCACAGAACTCATTAATTTTTGTGGCATTACTTATCACAGAAAAGTAACTTATCAGTCAGAAGCTGTTAATATTTCTACTTTTGATATTTCTGTAAACTTGTATGTTCTCTCTCCTTGTTGTTGGTTAACTCCTGGTTTTCACTTGTAAGAATGCAAGGTAAAATCAACCTGAGTTTGTACAGATAATTTTGATGGCTATTGGTTCCAGGCACTAGTTGACCCTTTAACTCCCAAGATCTGATTATTAATTCTCCCTTCTAGTTGCTACACATTCCCTTGTAAATAAGTTACAAGAATTTTGGTATTAGATCAAGATAACAACTTCTACTTGATGAGTTTGAATATTCTCATGAGCTGTTTGCTGGATAATGTTTAGATATTACAGGGAGAAGTTACATGTTAATCACTTTTGGGAGTTAAGGGGTTAATCAAACAATTAGTACACTTGTTTATGTATGTCAGCCTGAATTTAGATGTGCGCTGAATTATCATTCTCTAGTGAAAGCCACCTGCTAACCATCAAGGCCCAGTTGTTCAAAGGGTGGATAACACTATCCAACAGATAAATCACCATCCAGCAGATAACTGTCAAAAAAATGTAACATGCTATCCACTGGATAGCAATTTTTCCAGTGGATAGTGTTATTTATCCTCTGAACAACCAGGGCCAGAAGTGTTACAAGCTTAGAGTTGAGGCCATAATAGATTATCTCCACATTGCAACTCAAATTAGTTAATAATATATATTGTTTCCATATTGTCTGGGATGCAGATCACCAATTAACCCTTTTAACCCTTAAGGGTTATCAGTATTTAATTTCTCCCAACAGTTTCACCCTAAATCAAACATTAAGTTTTAAGAAAATAGGAAATGATCCCAAATGCAAGAAGCTCTTGATTGTAAGACAAATTCTCCTTACAAGTACCCTGGAAATTGTATAGATAACAGTATAGACAACTTACATATTGATGTTAGGATGTAAAGGGTTAAGAGATCAATTCACGTCATAGACAATGCAACTTATTTTCCCTGGTCAGTAAGATTTTGATGCCCACATTCAGGATTTTAGAGAGGGTAGGGCAGTAATGTTCCAAATCACATCCAAGTGTTTACTTTCAAAAAAAACCATTGTATGGAAAGTAAATGACATGTGATGATATGCAGGGAATATGTTTTATTCCTGAGTAAATTTTAGGAAGAGTCTCTTATTCCTTGAGAATGTTTACAAATGAAGGTACAAGAAATAACTATTTTTTTTTTTGTAAAGAATAAGAAAGATGGTAAATTTTTTAGTTTGATCATCAATAGAAAAGGTTTATGGCCTAGGGGTATTGGAAAAAATCAGATCTTTCTGTGTTACATTCCTGTGACAAATATGGAACAACGTTTTCCCTCAGTGGCTACTAACTAACATGTGGTTGAAATATTTCAAGTTCTTTATTATTTCAGCCTGATAAAGAAGCTCTATTTTAGGATATACTTCTTTAGGTGTCCCTGCCTTAAAGCAAATCTTGAAAAGTATAACTTATATTTATCATCATGATAATTATAGTTGTGTTTGGAACAACTTAAATTAGTATCACCAACTATCCCATGTTTAGTTCAAATATATGAAATATGGCTTATCATGAAAATTTTGATTCATGGAAATTAAAACTTTGCGTACTTGTCAATGAGAAGTCATTACTTTATTGTACTTTTATCATTTAAAGAAGGTGTATGGGACCACCCTCCGACATACTTTACTTAAATTTCTAAGAAATATTCTGATGTCCACTTCTTGAACAGAGGTCAGAGAGGTTCAAATGATAAATGTCCTACCACATATAATTTCACCTAACCTAATCCGGATGAAAAAAATTTGAAAAGACTTGAACACGGAATATTTTGAAAAACTAATTTATTTCTATGCAGCGCTTGCAATATTCTCAGCAAATGAAACATGGGGGGCTAAACCTTCCCAAAACCACCCCCCCCCTTCCAGAATAAGAAGAGACTCGCATCTTGGTTCTCAGGACGACGTCTAAAAATGTGGGGGCGATGGGGACCCATGGGGACCATTAAAACCGTTTGCTGTAAACGTTATGGTTATGCCCGTGACATTGGTGACGCTTTCGTGACGGTAACGACTTACACTCTTAAAATGTAAGTCAGGAAATGTTTGTGAGCTCCAAATGAAGAAGACATCTTTGAAAAATGAATACAAAGTCGATCAAGACTTCATCTTTGGTTCAATGACCAAAGTAGGTCGGAGGTCTATAAATGCCACGGAAAAAATTAGTCAGTGTCGCAAAAAGTCGTCTCGCCATAACCATAGTTCCAGTCCTCCTCGGTTAACTAGCAAAGGCCGGTGCCATATTGGAATACAGTGTGTGATGCCCTCAGTTCCTTGGAACCCGTTTGGGTTTTCAGCAAAGCCCCTTCGTTTTCCAAGACTTCGTGTTGGAAACAAGAGACAACCTATTGTGCCTTTAAAAGAATGGAAATTAGTGAGAGGGGATACGGTATGATACTTGATCATTTTAATATGTATGCGTTCAAAAATCTCACAGCTAGTTGACGACTGAATACACATGGTATGATGAAAGATAATGTAGTCTTGTTCGCCGATAAGCTTCATTTAAGTTCAGTATTTCAACTAGATTAACTCCATCTCTAACGATGTAAATGATGGTCGAAGGAAATTTCACTATCTTGGATATGTAGCGCTTTTCACTTACTCTTCTGAAGGAACGAAAACAAGCGAATTTAATGTTAACCGTTTTAGTGTAGAGAAAACAATTTTATGAGGAGGGTAACACTTAAAATGGGGGGAGATCAGAAATGGTGCTAATTTTTAATTTTTAGTGGGTAAGAGCGAAGAGCTTCCCACCTCTTGGAATGAGGTGGGGATGTCTAAGGAGTTAACAACCCTCCCCCCCCAGCGCTGCTTCCAAACTGTCTTAAGGTAAACTTATCATAGCATTTTTAATCTCAAAATCTGAGGTAATAAATTACATTAAGGTGGTGTATTGAATCAGTCCATAAATTTTATCCACTCAAGGTGATGATTCTTGGTGGAAAAGATAGAGGAAAGATTGGAAAGATCAATGAAGTGGTTAGAAGCAAGAACTGGGTATTTGTTGAAGGATTAAACACGGTAATTCATTCTTTTTATTGACATTTATTGGATGTGCAACCTACACATAGGAGTCTGTGATATAAACCATGTCCAAAATACTTTTTTTCCTTAGCTAGTAAAATGTATGAGGGACCAGTGCTGGGAATGGCCCATTGTTTTTTCACCTTGTGGTATTTGTTACATCAATGAATAACACAATCAGGGAATAGAGTATATTAAAATCATTGATGGAATCTCTTTTAGTACATGTATTTGGTACATAGTCGTTAGCCTAAAGGAGGGAGCCCATAGTCTGTTATCAAGGGTTTTCCTGGAGTCTCTGCCCCAGGCCTTTTTCTTTACCTGTCTATGGGTCAGTCCTAGTCTCCTGATGTGTGCTTCCTGATCCAGTGTAACATTTTTCTCAACTTTCCCCTCTTCCCTTTGCCTTAAAAAATTCTAGGTCAATGATTTTGCTCTGATTTAACTTAAATTTTCACTCTTGAGATCTCATTAATAGTGAATCCCTCTTACTGTCTATCTACAGTTCTTATGATGTTAGTTAGGAGAATTTGGGTTTGGATCAACTAATAATCCCCTAACTGATATTTATTCTCATCACTAATGTCTGCTGTCTGCTTTATGTAGTACTGATATTGTAAAGAGAAATTATGTCTTCATGGGAGTTGAGGGATTTAATGTCAAAATGACCATCACCTACCATTCTCCAAGGTCTCCTCTTGATCAAAACAAAAATCATACATACAGTATGATTTAAATTGTAGCTTGGATTCTATTGTTGTTTACCATAGAGATTCTATTGTTGTTTACCATAGATTGTTATTAACCATTTCTTTCTATTTCTTGACAGCACAAACGTTACATCCCTCCACAAAAAGGTTATGATGGAGGACTTACTAACAGTGAAGCCCCACTTCAGGTGTCAGAAGTGTCTCTCATAGATCCTTCAGATGGGTGAGCAGTGACATTCACTATTTTTTTTTATACGTACATTTTGATAGGTTCTTATCTATGATTTATTAAAGGATATATGCACAGGTGACATCACCATTAACAGCATTTTGCTTTTTTTATCATAGGACACTTACATATTCCATGTTGCTGTAGGTCTGCACTGTAATAGATCACAGAAAATGTCAAAATGTGGTAAGAGAATCAGTGACATACTCAGCCATGCCTGGTGTGGCACTTTTTTTGTTCTTACCACATTTTGATGTCATCTGTGATCTATTGCTGAACCAACACACCGCAACATGGAATATATTATTTAAGTAGAGAGTATGTTTGTAGATTTAGATCAACATTTTCTCGTAGAAAATACTGATCTAGCAACAAGGAGTAAGAAACGAGATCAATTTCCCATCTTTTGTCCTCTATTTACACACAACACAACAGACATGAGTTAACATGAACCTTGTGATGACCAAGTTCATCATAGACGGAATTCTCTGTTGCTCAATGAACTACAACATTTGGCTAAAATAAAAACTCCAAAACTCCTTGAAATTTCGAACAAAGGGGTAACAAATTTTACACAAACAAAAGCTAAAAAAAACTGAGTAAAACTCTGTAAAACAAACAACAAATCCAATCTTAGAGTTCTTTGATTTCTCATGGACTCCAAGAAGTTTTTGTTGATCCCATTGTCAAGACAAGATGAAAAAATATTTTTCTTTATAACAAAGATATCTTTGTCCTAGCATAAAAATTGTTATCACCAGCATACAAGTGTATCTAACTAAGAAATACTCTTTTTTCTAGGAAACCCACAGATATAACCTACAGATTCACAGAAAAGGGTGAAAAAGTTAGAGTATCAGACCGCACAGGTCGAATCATTCCTAAACCACCATGGGAACGAAGAGATGTTAAGAACCGATCAGCTATAAAAGGTCAGTTACTATTAAATATTCAGGAATAAAGAGATTGCCAACAGCTATCTGGTAATAATTGTTTTTTTTTTCCCCTGAATTTTTCATTACCAAAATTAGACTATTTATTGGCATTTGCCATTTCATTGTTTATCATTGTTTTTGACCAGGGTTACCTCTTGTGTTGTGCTCTTTGGCTGACAAATTTTCTCTCACACTTCCACTCTCCACCAAGGAGTATAAATGGGCAATGGCAAAGTGTCAGGGAGAGCCCTTGAAACACTGTAGGGGGAGGAGGTAATCCTGTGATGAACTTAAGTCCCATCTAGGGTTTAGAAGCTCACTCCTTGTTGTTCAGGCCAGATGTGCTCATTGACCTCTGTATACGTGAACAGGCATTATAGTATGCATTACAAGCTGTTATTAGGGTAATGAATTACTACTAACTTTTTTATCTGTTTTGTTTAGATGGTGATTTTGACACACCACCATCAGCAGTTACCAAAAAAACCTATATCCCATCGCTGCTGTATTTTCATGAGGAGATCATGCATGCACTGAAGGTACCTCCCACCATTCCAAAAACAGAACCAGATCGAAGAGATCTGATGATGAAGGAAGTTGAAAAAGCTGCAAATTGGCATTTGGACACAACTGCAAATGCTAAACTTAGTCTTATAGACAAAATTTACTTCTCAGTCAGTAATTATGCTGATAGACTTATACGGTTTTTAAGGATTGATAAATTGTAATGACTTTTTAATCTTCAATCTTCTCAAGTGAAAGATATGGACAGATTGCCATCCTCCTATGATAACCTATCTTTCTTGCAGCCATTGTTTGGACCATCTCACGAAACAACACTCTCTCTGGCAGGGAGAAAGAGTGTTGTGCAAAATGACCAAAGGCTGCAGAGCATAAATAGAAGAAGAATCTCTACTTGTAGTAAAAGAAAAGTACCCAACACCATTTGTTCTTGTATTCATTAAAAATGTTTAAATCAAGTGAATTCCAAATGATGGTTTGGTTTAAACATCTAATGTGCCCCCTTATTAGACAGTAGTGAAAGAACTGTCAGTAGCCAAACCCCTCCTATGTTCCATCCCTTTCCACTTTACCCATTGTGTTCTTCCACAGGCATCCCAAGCTCACATCTTGAGAAAAAGCTAATGATTAAGTCATGAAAGCATCATGCGTTGAGAGGTAACATTGAGAATTTGAACATGTTGTAAGGAATAGTATGGGGAATGGAATATGGTTGATTTACAATAACTATTTCTAAATATGAACTTACTATTCCCTATAACATGTTCAAATTCTCAACAGTTTCTCTCGTAACTGAACACCACATCACACAACATGTCCTGCTTTCATGAATTAATCGTTTCCTTTTTCTTGAGACATGAGCTCCGGATGCCTTTGGTTCTTTGTGCTTAACCTTTGATACACCCTTGTTCATTCTCATGATGAATTTTTTAGACTGTTATCTACTTACTTTTGTGGGCTCCTGACTAATAAATGTAAAGGAATGAAAGCTTAAATGATCTGTCAAAATATTGAACATCTCTGAGCTGATAAAAGATGCTGTAAATTGATATACAGATAGAGAAATATCTAGAAATCTTATCTGCTGGGAGGCAACCCAGTTTGCTTTTTGCCAGCTGCATGATAGGAGTTCAGCTTGAAAATTCCAAGATACAAATCTTACTGGGTTACAGAATGCAGAACCTCCAGTTTTCAAATCCACCACCCTGTTTCCTTTGATCTCCAATATTGTAAAAATGTGTCAAGGGCAGGTATCCTTCCTAAAGAAGTGTCTGTCTTAAGGGGAGTCAAATTACAAGAGAATGACTGACCATTCCATTTGGCAAGGTCACATATTGGACAGCCTTGTGTCAAAATGGTTTGGAAGAAATACAAATTACAATTTGTACATAAGGGTGGAATTGAAATGTGGATTATATGGGGCATTTCAAAGTAGGCCAACGGAGAATAGAAATTGTTTACCTTTTGGAAAATCTTCTCACCCTTTCAAGCCATATTCATGCAGGGATTTAAAGAGTTGGCTATATTGTGATCCTACACAAAACAGCTAATTTAAAACCAGGATTAAAGGTTTGACATTTACTCTGCCGCAAAAACGCTTCCATCTAAGTTTCAGAGGGAAAAATGACAAGAAAGGTTGTCTCAAGAAAGGTTGTTCAAATGGTCGATCCACTGTTGTTTTCCGATGTACATCTATCTACAAAACTTACCTTACAACTGTACTGCAAGCTGATACTTGATTCTGAAAAAGAACAGTTTACAGGTAAAAATTGAATCAACAAGGACCCTGATATTCTGTTTCACTATCCAGAATGACTAAAAAATGTCAGAGAAGGAAGAAAAATATTTACATGTATTCATTTAGGAATATTCTTTGTTCTAACAAAAAACTCTTGGAGTTCAAATTAAAGAAACATTTAACAGTAAATACAGATAAGTAGCTAAACTTATACAACTTAAGCTGTGCATTTAACTTTAACCAAGCGTTAGATCAGAACTCCCAAGAGAGATCTGCATCAAATTTCTCACTACAATATCACCATCTTATCACAAGTAAAGGTTATGGAAATCAAGGAACTGATCAGTAAGGAAAAATAGCTTTCCAATAAAATAGCCAAATTCTCTCAATGGCTATTGTATGGAAATGCATGGGCACCATTGACAAGAATTTATAGAATTTAATGGTTTATCAAAGAGTGACATTAGCATCTAATTCTTCCTAACAATATCACCCCACATTAATGCCATGAGAATCAAAGAAGTGATCACCAACTTAAGACTCTTGATTATTAAACTAATTCTCCTTATCAGCACCTTGGGAAATGTAAAGAGGACAGTATGGATATTATGCACAGTAATATCAGGGTGTAAAGAGTAAACAAAGTTTAGCCATTGTTGAATAAAACCACATTCTAATTCATCTTGAATTTGGCTGAATCTTTTGCCTGAATATTTATATTTGTGAATTTTGTCAAAAGGGCTAAAAGCTACCAGTGGAAGGACATTTATTTAATGAAAACAATCCTCTTAAAGAGAATACATAAAGCCCACTGCATGTGTAAAACTCCAGTTTGGTTTAGACCTCATGTAGTTAACCAGACCTACCCAGTACATGTTTACAATGGAGTTTAAAGGGTTATTATAAAACAATTCAAATAGTATGCACGCTCTGATTGGCCATAAAACCATTTTACATGAGCGTATGTAAACACGGTTTTCGTTCCTCTTTCATTAGTTATTTTATAAAAGAAATGTAAAATGGTTTCTGTGTTTACATAGCCTGATGTAAACACTTGGGAGGTTGGAAGAACACTCGATAAGCTGGAAACCACTTTGCTTCCCGTCGTGGTTTCCTATGCCTATCTCATGTTCTCCCAACTTGATCTCAGGTGTGGGTGAGAAAATGAAAGGAGATGGATCAAAAACAAAGTTGTACATAGGACAATTACAGAATGGAAAATACAGGATAAAAAAGTCATGAAAAGTAATTGATCAAGTGCTGCATTTTGATTTATATTGTATAGAATCTATTAGATTTCAGTCTATTTTGAGACAGATTGTATCAGGATGCCATGATACTTGTTATGTGTGATATAGTTGTTGCATGTCATATGACACTTTGACATCATGACATGTTGCTGTGACAATAGTGTTGTCCTGTGGATGGACAATTTTTTAAAATCCCTTAAACTGTCCTGAAAATTTAGCATGTGAACTTGCTCATTGCTCATGTATAACTGGAAGCAATGAAAAGCTGACCAATGTACCCTGACCCTTGGAACAAGAGAGCATAAAACCCAAGGCCCGACAAGAGCCACAAAGAATGATAAGAGAAAACTGATGTATAAGAATAAAGATAAACAGGATGAAAGATATCAAGGTCAGGAAGGGTTGGCCAGATAGGGTAGTCTTTTAGTAAACAGCAACAAGTAAATCACCAGGAAAACTATTTGCTGCACAATGTAAATAAGCCACCAATTACCCAAACATTCAGACTCTCAGATGACTGTGTGAAAAACAAGTTTGGTTGTCCCTTGGCTAGAGGAAAACATTAAAATTTGTTTTACAGATTTACTATTATCATTATGCAGTAGTTCTATTTCTGATGGAATGTTAAAGTTTAGCCAGGCTGATAAGAGAAGGAAAACTGGCTTTTGTGCAGTGTATGTTTGTGTTAACTCTTTGACTCCCTGAAGTGATTAACATGAAACTTCTCTCTTGGATATTTATACATTATCCAGCAAACAAGTAAGGAGGATACTCAAACTTATTAGCTAGTTGTTATTTTGATCTAAGACCAAATTCTCATAACTACAGTAGTTTACAAGGACAAATGTAGCAGTTAGAGGAGAGAATTAACAATGATATCTAAGGAGTTGAAGGGTTAAAAATATACAGAACATTATCATGGAAAGTTTCTTTCAGTTTTCACCTTTCCCACTGCACTGTAAATTCTAGCCTTTTGAGATCCTTTCAAAATTACTATTGGCTCTCTATGGGTGAAGAAAACTTCCTGGTATTCAAACACAAACTTTTTGATGTATTTAGTATTACACCTGGCATTTTGACATCCTTTCATTTAGTGCTGCATAGTATTTGAAGACTATACAATCTTGTTTTCTGTTTGCCATGCAAGCTGTAAGTTACATCTTATAAAGAAAATTATGACTGGAAAATGCCCTTACTGAATAAAAGTGTAAACTGTCTTTTATATATCTCTTCTTCTGTAATGTGGAACTTTAACTGGTCTAAAGAGAGATTTTTAACAGAAAATGTTTCTTTTCTTCTTCATAGACAATTAAGAAATTTCATTAAAGGTTTGATGACTCTGAACACTTTACCCCCTGAGAGTGACTAAAATCTAACTTCTCCTTACAACATCTCCCCTGAATCATACACTAAGGTCACAAGAACAAAGAAAACGATCACCAACTAAAGAGACTCTTGATTGTTAAACAAATTCTCCTTTTCAGCACCTCTGGAGCTATGAAGATGACAGTATGGAGAATATGCACACTGATGTTAGGGTGGAAAGGGCTGAGTTGGCATGCTCTACAGCAGGCTCTCAGTTCATGGGAAGAAGTAATGTGCAAGATGTGAGGGTAAAAACAAGTCCAATACAGTTTTGACAGCAGGACATGTAACCCTTAAACTATCAAGCTTTTATATCAACTTAAATGGCAAGGGGGTGAGAAATGATTTCTCAGTCAGAGAGATCAGGTTCTACTAAAAAATTGGAATATTGGATTAAATAAAGTGAATACCTATTTTGAAATGCTAACATTTTTTTTGGAGAAAATTATGAAAGGGTATCTCACAAGTCCATGTCAGCAAATCTTACACAGATTGGAGACAAATTCAGTTGACAAGTTAATTTATGATTTATAGTGCCAAAATGACATGAAATAGAATTGAAATGAAGGGAAAGGTGAGAAATGTTTTTCGAATATTTCCATTCAAACAAGATGTTACATCACTTTGAGCCAGAACCTTATGAAATGTTACATTCAGTCTTGCTCTTTAATATTTGCCACGAAGAGCAAATGTTATTGCCATGTTCTTTCCAAAGTGCTTTTTATTTTTTTAACATCACAACCTTTTGCATACCCCAACTTATACACAGCAAGTTACTCATGATAGTTTGCCCACTACAAACCAAGTCACTCCCATAATAAACTACTCCTCTGGTAAACAGTGGGCAGGTTAACCTGTAGACCTTCAAGTGTCTGGCATCTAATTTCTCCTTACAGTGTCACCCTTGAGTCAAATGTAAAGTTTATGAGAATAAAGGAAATGATCACCAATTTAAGAAGCTCCTTATTCTCAAAAACAGTTCTTGTCACTATCATAGGAAATGTAAGGAGAACAGGATGGAAAATATGAATGCTCAGGGTGGGGAAGGAAAGGGTCAAGTGCAGTCAAATCTTTGGCTTTTTTATTCTCTTGCATAAGAGGATTCAAATAGATTCACACAAATATACAACAGCAGTGTTTAAATTTATTCAGCATAAAAAGGATATCTACAACATCCTCATTATAACTGAGTTGATAATGGGTCTACTGTGGCCAATTTACATCATCAACTTTGTTGATAAAACTGATCATTTTGTGATACCTGGCTCTGACACTAAAAACTTATCCCTTCACACATTCTATGTTGCCTAGTTTTCAACTAGAAGAATGACAAAAGTATGGGCAATCTTTTTGCATTTAACTATTTCTTATAAGATAACTAAATTTAGTGTTTTCTTTTAAAAAAACAAATTAGCCTTGCTTGGGTTTCTTGGGATTTTCCAACATCCTTATAATAACTGAGTTGATAATGGGTCTACAATGGCCAATTTACATCATCAACTTTGTTGATAAAACTGATCATTTTGTGATACCTGGCACTGACACTTAAAACTAACCCCTTTACACATTCTATGTCACCTAGTTTTCAACTAAAAGAATGACATAAAAGTATGGGAAATCTTTTCGCATTTAATTATGCTTATAAGATGGCTAAATTTAATGTTTTCTTTCAAAAACAGATAAGTCTTGTTTGGGTTTCTTGGGACTTTAGCCTTGCTGCCCTGCCAGTAACAGAAATGAATAAGAAATAATGAGTGTTAGTAGTCAGCTTGGGTAAAAGTAATTTCAAAGATTCCACTCTTCCCTGAAATGAAACTCGCTATATAATCAGGAGATTTTATTGGTCTGTTATGACTCCAACTGATAGATAAACTTTATTTACATTCGGCTATAAGGATGGTATCCAAAGGGGCCCTAATGTTGAAAACTAACAATACTGTTGAAGAAGAAAAGGTTGTATATAAAAATAAACTACAAAAATATTCATAAAATCATATGTAGTGGAAGAAAAGATTAAAATACTTGCAAGTGGCCTTATAGGTAGAAAATTTAAAAGAGAAGTTATAAAAACAAGCAATTTTTAATTCAATTTTTAAAAATCTACAAGGACTCAGCTTGCTCCACCTGCTGTGAAATAGCACATTTTCTGCTTAGATGTTTCTTAAGTCTGGGAATAAGTAGGCATTGCATTCTGACACTGCATAGACAGCAAAAACAACACTAGTTCACATTTCATAACTGCCATTAAAGACAAACTCTCTTAAGTCCTCTCCCCTTGTCCATTGCTTGTTTTCCATATTAACATATAACTTTTTCAGCAGTCTAGTTGTCTCTAAACTAGTTAGAATCTTCCCTTACCAAACTGTTCTATAGCCAATTCTGACAGCAGCCACAGGACACTTGTCAGCCAAAACTTCTGTTTATGTTCAAAAGGAAAGATTAAGTCACTTTCAGGGTCACTTCTGTAGCTGAAGGTTGATGTCCCTTCATGTTCATCCACTTTTGTTATTAAAAGTTGTTCATTTTCAGGAACCAAATGAATACCTGCCAAACAAAAGAGACACAGATCTCCATAAGATAATTCATCTGCAAGTTATATAACAACAAAAAAACCCAACAACTGGAAAATATGATAGTTGAAAGAACCATTTCATTGTCAAGAGAGTAACCTTTTTGGGGGATGTAATGCACAGTACTGGTCAACCTCACTAATTTTCCACTTCATTGTGTCAAACAGAAGATCACCATAATTTTACTCACCATGGGTATCCTTTTCCAAAAGGTAACAAATGATACACCTGACAGTTTTCATGATAACCTGAGGTGAGTTCATAAACATTCGTAGGACACCACGCATCTGTCTAACATCATCTTGGATCCCTGGATAAACATAGGACAATTCCCATCCCTGTGTCCCCCTCACTTTCAGATGTAATTTATGTGGAAGTTGGTCAGCTATTGAAGAAAACAAAGTGCAGTCAAGTCTACAAACTCCAAAATGTGCTGAAAATGTGATCTATTGGCTACAAAACTTAGCCTGCAAGGGCTAAAAAAAAGTCTTGCCTTGCAACAAATGGAATGCAATACTCACTTCACTACAGCAATTTCAAATACTAATTCTGTTCCACTTAAGTCTAACTGTAGGTTGACAAAAATTAAGTCACCACCAATTTACACCAAAGCTTAAGCATATCTTAAAGCTGCAAGTTTTGTTAAAAACAGTTTAAAATTAGATAATTTGGTTTCATCAAATTAAACATCAATGAGTTGATGATGTAAATTGGCCATGGTAGAGAGTTTCTAAGCTGATGTTTCAAAGGTTAGCCCCTCTTTGGAGTGAATGATGAGCTGCTCAAGCCAATGTTTGTCAACTTCAAATTCTACACAGTGAAAATACAAGTTAGTGACTCAGTACTTCAATGAACCATATTGGAAATTCAGTTGTTCAGTTCTCTGTTTCTGATGTTCATTCAGTTGAACACAGTTGAACTGAACATGTTTTGCTGGTGTGAAAAGGGTATTAGACTTGAAATAATTCTGCACTTTGAACGATTCCTGAAAAAATCCTCTTGCCAGCTGGGCAAATGAGGGTCAGAATCTGCCAGCCTGACCTAAGAATCCACTAGCCCCTGGCTTACTGTACCCAACCAATAAGGTTTGTAACAATGTTAACTAAATATGAAAACCAGTACATTCAAATCAAAACAGGTTATAATCATCTGAAATGCAATTACCAGGTTCATTATCAACCTCCATTCTTTCTTCCCCATCAATGCCATATCTGGCCTCAAGTGTTAGTTCCCACTCCTGTTGGTGGAATACAGATAAAATTGTGATTACCTGTAATAGGCCTTCTTCAATCTACACCAAAGCTGGTTTAAACTCAGCAAAAGGAACTCATATTCTGTGATTCACTTTGTCACAAAATGCTTGAATTGTATATAACATTATCATCATCGAGGTTACTGGCTCTGCATAATGTTTCTGAAGCTTCTTAACAATGAATTATGTAAGTTTTAAAGATGATGGGCCAAAATACAATTTTGTATCATGATGAACACTTTTGACAATTCTACTTTCTCATCAAGAAAATTGGAAGATAGATAAATGCAGTTATGTCTCAACAAAGAATTGTATAACTTTGCTGAGTGATATGTTGGCAGGTGGAGGAACAATGAGAAACAGTTTATTCTTTCAAATTCCCAGACTGATAACCAAGTTATGTTTACCATTTTTTTATTTATTCCAATATCTATCTACAAAACTTACCTTACAACTGTACTGCAAGCTGATACTTGATTCTGAAAAAGAACAGTTTACAAGTAAAAATTGAATCAACAAGGAACCTGATTTTCTGCTTTACTATCAAGAGTGACTAAAAGAGATCAGAGAAGGAAGATGAATATTTACATGTATTGATTTAGGAATATTCTTTGTTCTGGCAAAAAAACTCTCGGAGTTCAAATTAAAGAAACGTTCGACAGTCAATAAAGCCTAGTAGCTAAAGTTATACAATTTAAGCTGTGCATTTAACGTTAACCAAGCTTTAGATGTGGGATATAAAGCATGTTGAGGGTCATTTGGCACTTCGTGATAACATCAGATAGTATGGGAGGGCTAAATTCATTTGATTCGTAAAATTTATCGAATGCGTAGGGCTGCCGGTCATTTAGCCATTGCATGACTGACTCGATGACTGTTTGGAGAGAGTACTGGGCTTTTCAGTTATTTTCGCACTCGCAACACCAAGTGATACATGAAATTGCAGTCAGGCGACCCTAAAAACTGGATTGGCGGAATGATGCGATGGCGTAAAATTACCTTAAATCCTAAAAGACGGAACTACGGAAATTCAACCCAAATCCTAAAGTGCTTGGCTTGGTTTTGAAGCACGTTTTTGTTTAGCAAAGGACCGCGAAGAAATGTTTCAAGTTTTCTGAGGTTCCTTCCCGTTCGATCCTTTGTTTTGCCACGTCCTTGTTACCCAGCCGTGGTCTCCTTAGGGACCCTAATGGGCTTAAATGCCCGACAGTCAGAAATTTTCAAAGAATTCAAATACCTTTCTTTAACACGGATGAAGCCATTCTGCACTTGCGTTAAACTCTTGCATGGAGGAAGAACGGGGAATCGAGAACTGTGTAAATGTCCCATTGTTTTCGTAGTTTTTTATATTCGCACGACCAAGAAAGAGCTTAGGATGTGGATTTGAGAAGCCACGGCTGAATTTATTTAACCCCTGGGGTGTTTTCGGCCTTCCGATTGGCATTCACCTGTTTTCACCTCTTCTGATTGGCTTTTAACTGTTATCACGCTGCACGGTAGAGAGGCAATATATGGCCATGGCAATAATATGGGGCGCCAAACCAGTCAATATTCCCTCTGTATTTCTTTGACCCAGTTTAATTTTATATGGTCAATTCGACTTTTTATAGGGTCAACTTATTTTTTATATGGTTAGCTCGGGTTTTCACATGGTGAACTTTTTATTTTTAATAAGATCAACTTTTACTTTTTATACGGCCAACTCGACTTTTTACATGGTCAATTCGACTTTTTATATGGCTAACTTTTTATTTTTAATAAGATCAAATTTTACTTTTTATATGGCCAACTCGACTTTTTATATGGTCAACACGACTTTTTATATGGTGAACTTTGTACTTTTTACATGGTCAATTTAGAATCGTTCCAGAATTCATTGCGCCCGATCAACAACAAAGATGGCTGCTTACACTTCCTCCAGAGAACGCAACGAGTACGGACTGTTTTTATTTTTTGACAATTTAAAGATACTGCTTTCGACAGTATCCTCATTCGAAGAGGCAGAAAGATGCAATAACTTGACCTTTGAGGATGTTGATCAGGCAGCTGATCGATTGAGAACTGCTGCAGAGACCATTCAATTACTAACCGCAGACATTGGGAACAACGAAGATTTCACTGATGTGGCATCAATCCTAAACCTGTCTTTGATTAAGGTTAGGAACTTGATTGATCAGCTGCAGCAATATAGAAATGAGGTGTTAGATTTTTTCGGTGAAAGGGCATATAGCAGCTCATCCGATTCGAGTAGGAATGGTCCTGGGCGCCCACCTTATGTCATTGAGGAAGAACAGATACGTTTTTTAAGAGAAATGCATTTTTCCTGGAAAAAGATATCCGATTTACTTGGTGTAAGCGAGAGTACCCTCAGAAGGAGGAGATTAATGTATGGCGTGACTGACCAAGAAGAGTTAAGGTGGACTCAAATAACTGATTCCGACTTGGAGAACATTGTGAAAGAAATTCAAGAACTAACCCCAAATATCGGACAAGCGCGATTGGTGGGCGCTCTGAGAAGTAGAGGGCTATATATTCAACGAAGGCGTGTGAGAAATTGTCTTCGAACCCTCGATCCTGTTGGAACAGTTTTACGGTGGCGGTCTACAATTTACAGAAGAAAATACAATGTTCCTACACCAAATGCTCTCTGGCACATAGACAGCAATCACAAACTCATACGATGGAGGTTAATAACTCATGTGTGTGTTGATGGATATTCCCGAATTATAATTTATGCCCACTGCTGCAATAACAACAAAGCTGATACAGTGCTGGAGCAATTCATTAGAGGTGTCAACAGTTATGGATTGCCTTCTAGGGTGAGAAGTGATTACGGTATGGAAAATTTCAAAGTAGCAGAGTTTATGCTAGAGCAGAGAGGTGTTGACAGAGGTAGCATTATAACTGGTAGCTCTGTGCACAACTGTTGTGTAGAAAGGTCACACAGAGATATTTACTCGGGAGTACTTTGCTTTTTTGCAAGGACATTTTCTCGCTTGGAGGATAATGAGCTACTGGATCCACTTAATGAGTTGCATTTATTTGCTTTACATTACACCTTCATCCCCAGAATCAATAAGTGCTTACAGGAATTTAAGAGCCAGTGGGAAAATCATCCACTATCTTCAGAAGGAAATCTTTCTCCTACTCAATTATATACAGCTGGAATGCTTGAAAATGAACACTCTGGATATGCCGCAGTTGAAAGTGTGTTTGATGCTTGTAATAGGCATGATTATGGATTTGACCCCTCTGCCCCTGTCCCTCTGGAAGAAGAAGACTATCAGGTTGTAGTTCCAGATACAAGTGTTCCACTTTCTGATCAACAAATAGCGTTCCTGGAAAATCATTGCAACCCCTTGCAAGAAAATGACAAAAGTGGTGAAAATACATACTTATGTTGTTTAAGAATTTTGTGTTCTTTGATTTCACAGGATATATATGTCAACTGAACTGAATTTAGTTGGAAACTTGTATTTAGTATTAAAAAAGTACCATAGAGGCTATAAACTTCACAAAACACAATGCTTTTTATTTCACTTTATGTTTTCAAAAAATAACTTTGAGTAATTATGGACCTCACTGTATTTTGATGAATCTAACAATGAAATAACTGTTTGAGACCCAACAAAAGAAACCTAACATAATTTCCATCAGTAAGTTTTTCTGACAAAATTCACACTAGGCACCCTTAATAACACAAGATAAAAATGTAAAAATGAGTGTGTTGTAAGCAAGCACACCATTCTTGTAATAATGTAACTCAACATGAAATTACATTGTAACTGAACAGTCTGAGAGCAAATGAAGCTTAGCAAGATGCACATATACCCTAGTGAGACTACTTTATGGTGTACATTTATGCTATTTGTTCACACTATGTTCATCTCCCAACTATCTGAATTCAAAATGGCCATGAATTATTCTCTGAGCTCACAAAAGCTAGCATATGTGGTGGGCACCTCTAAAGTGTAGCCACAGGTGTGGGAAATGGGCCTTCTCTGTAGACCTTCACTGTTGGTGAATGTTATTGTCAACCTGTCTGTGACAAGAACATCAGATGCAGTTGTAAATCTCAAAAATTTGGTAAGCTTGGCTTCGTCAAGCCCCCTAATGAGTCTCTTCAGGTGGGCCAGTGTTTCTGTCTCAGCTGCTGTAGCTGGACTGGCTTCAAGTAGGCCAATAACTTTAACATTACTTGGTGTGATGGAAGAATACAATTGATGTAGGGATTTTACATCTGGGAAATAAATCTTTAGATGAGCAAGAATTGGTTGCCAGCAGTCACTCACATATTGGGGTTTTTGCACTATCTCCTTGTGAGCAATCTCTCCCATGATTTCTATTATATTGCTATTTGTGACTTTTCTCTTACAGTCAAATGCTGACAAAAAGTCAAGCATCTCATCATTGTCGCAAGTGATACTGTCAGCCAAGCAGCCTTCTATTAGACTACTTTCAGATGGTGAAACATAACGCATGAAGGACTCCTGTAACATTTCGCGGGTAATGCTTCCCTCCCCAAAAAGACAACCTGCTATGAAAGCTTTGCTTATTTTATGAGGAAAATACTGACTGTTGGTGTATCCCTTTACAAGTATCCTCCCCACTGCTTCCCATTTAGTGCTATCAAAATCATGCCTAATATAAGGGACTCTTTCACTCTCCCCCAACATGTGTGATTCATAGAATTCCTTCCAGAACAAGGAGAAAACTTCCCTCAAGACCCCATTTCCCTGTCCAGCTTCTTCATGGCCAAGCTGATGTATAATGATGGCATTTAAACTGGACTTCAAAATGGAAGGATCTGAAAAAATCTTAAGCATATCAGCCCTTGCAAGTGACCTGTGAATTCTTATGACTTTAGAGGGCACTTCACCATTATTTGATGGTGAAGTTGGTGGAGATATTTCATCAACATTAACTACAGCTTCATAATTGTTAACTGACTGATTGTTCTCCATTTCTGACAAGAAGGGCATTGCATCTCCAAAGATAAGTAGTTCCCCTGGGTCTGTGTATTCAGCTTCACTGTTTTGATGCTGCAATGATGAGGAATTTGCATTAACAGAGGTCTCTGAGAGGTCACCGGTGCATTGATTAAAGGATGGTATCGTAAGCTGTTCATCATCTTCATCCCTATCTTCCTCCTCAAAGGGTTCCAGACATCTGATGTACACACTCCCTTGACCTGAGAGCTTTGTTATTCTTTCACCATCCATTCTAACTCCCTTTGCTAGTTTAGGAGTTACTAGAGTTCCATAACAAGCCTATAAAAAATAGAGCTACAATCACAGAAATAAAATAGGTCTCATCAACACCACCCAGAGAATGCATGACTTAGTTAGCCACTAAAAACTAGACGTTATCTACAAGTTCTTGAATTTTTGCCTTACAATAGATGTACATGAACTTTCAATAAAAAAATTACTCAATTCTGATTGGTTAAGATAACTGCAGTTTTTCAGGTGATTCAATGCAGAAGAGGGTGAATTCAGTGCAAAGAAGTAACAAACTAGACTGAACAATTCCTTGAACTGTTGAGCCTGACATTGAACTTTTTTGCGCCTTAAAGATGTGAAAATATTACTGTTTTGACCAAACACACAACGTCACTTGCTGGGTTTGAATAAATTATTTATGCACTTAATGCGTGCGCTTTGCTTCTGCATAATTATGAAAAGCTATCTCGTATCTTTTCACTTATATTATTAATACATAATCACATTGTTTTCCACGTGCAGTTTGGAATAAACCAGCACTTGTAAATTGTATCAAAGACCACAAACTGCACGAGCCCGTTTGTCAGTCCTTGAGATAATTTACTCGTGCTTATATATTTCGAATTGCACTCAAAATCGTGATTACCCATACTAATATAATTAGTTACTTATCTTATCGAGCAGGAGGAACCAAAAACAAGTTACCTTGAGGTATTCAAACATAATATCCTCTCTTGGAAGTTGACTTTCAATGTTTCTTTTTAAGTCTAGGTAAGTCCAGTCTTTATTGAAAGGAAACTGGTGGACAATCAGGCCCCTTTCTTCGAGCTTCACTTTGTTGACGTGACTTGGTACTTGATTTGTATTAGGGTTTGGAATTATCACCAAGTCTTTGTGGAAGATTGTTTTACTGGGACATCCATTCCTGTTTCCTCGGGACATGGAACTTGTAAAAGTACCCGCCGAAGTTCGTTTTCTAGTTGCGGTCGCCCCACGTGCGTTGAAAGTTGGAAATCGGCGTGAGAGCTCTGCTGCAATCGAAGGGCTTGATGATGGGACAAAGGAAGTCGAAGCTCTGTTGGTGGCCGTCAACGCTGCCACATTTCTAATATCATTATTGTGAAGATTTTCGATGGCTTCGAGAGCCTGCTTAGCTATGGCACACGCCGAGGAGATGTGCTGCACGTCTTCGTTGTTGGCAGCCATTTTGTTCGAGTCTAAGCGCAATGCAATCTGGATGTCACAAAGCTGACCATGTAGAAAGTAACAAGTTGACCAAATAAAAAGTCTAGTCGACCATACAAACAGTAAAAAGTTTATCATATGAAAAGTTGAGTTGACCATATAAAAAGTTTAAATGACCAAATAAAAAGTAAAAATTTAATCATTTAAAATGTCGAGTTGGCCATGAAAAAGGGTCGACTGATCATAAAAAAAGTAAAAAGTTGATCATACAAAAAGTCGAGTTGACCATCTAAGAAGTAAAAAGTTGATCATATAAAAAGTCGAGTTGACCATATAGAGAATAAACTGGGTCACAGAAATACGGTGGGAATATTGACTGGTTTGGCGCCCCATAGCAATAGCTTCGACAATGGCTTCCTGTTGACTCCTACGCATGCTTAAGGTAGAGCACACGGTCCTGCAAGCCAGTGGATTAACTTTACTTTGTGTACGTGAACCTAAAAATCATCGTAGCTATATAGAAACCTTGTAGATAGAAATAAGAGAGATGGTTATAGCGAATTTTTTTTCCAGAAGGAAAGAAATAAGGAAATACCTAGAAGTGAAAGATGAAGGGATAAGTGATGACCTTTTACGCAGCTTTTACGTTGTTTTCAGGTTCCTGTGCGGGATAAATCGATTGCAAGGTGGTTAGTTTAGTGAATCGAAGATGATGGACTTAAGGGCCCCGAGGAAAATGATAATGACAAAGAGTAAGTGAGGCAATGGTAAACTGTAGAAGCGATTGGTCTAGATTCCAGAGACGGCCTCCTGCCTCTATTCCTTATGCAACAGCAGATGATTGAACAATTGACTGCTCTTGAGCTGGAATAACTACAAACAAAGAAAACAGCAATGTTTTGGAACTATGAGTGTGTTTTTTTTTGTTTTTCTTATTTTATGATTTTTTTAACCCTTTAAATCCCAGAAGTGATTAACAAGTAACTTCTCCCAATAATATCTAAACATTATCCAGGGAACAGGTCATGAGAATATTCATACTAATCAGGCCAAAGTTGTTATCTTGATCTGACACCAAATTCTCTTAACTTATTTACAAGGAAATATGTAAATGCTAGAGGGGAGAATTACCAATCAGTACTTGAGAGGTAAAGGGTTAACAAAGATGCCCATGTTGTTGCCCTCAATATACAACATACCTTAGACAACTTCTCTAACTTTTCCTTGATCTACTTAACAGTGGAAACATGCCAAACAAGTTTCTTTTGATTCTGCTTTCATATTTTCCTGTTTGACAAATTGTCTTTTGACCCTTCGAAATGTGCTTTGTTTTTAATTTTAAGTGAGGATAAAGTTGTTTAACAACTATTGCACTATTCACTCTGTTCCAAAATAGCTTAAGGAAGCAAAAATGAAAATTATTACTTGATGTGTAATATTTTGAAACATTTTAAGACTATGACTTGACCCTGAGTTAACTGAAAACATATGCATATGAATCAAGTATCCATGTCCCTCCTAAAGATCAAGAGAAACAGTGAAGCAATGATTTAATTTGAACCTTGAAAACATCACAAGCTTTTAGTTTACTCTTGCTTCTTTCTTTTGCATTTTTTAGTTTGCTAAATAACAAACAAAAAATAATAATATTATGGCAAGTTCACATTTTGCAATTTTTAAGCTTGTAATCTTTCAAGGTTTAAATTATATAATTGCTTCTCCAAAAAGAGAGATAAAGTAAAATGATTTTTTTTTTCCAGTCTGTAATAACTTCTAAAAAATTGCTTGTAGTTACTAGAATGATACTCACCTTGTGATTGGAGTGTGCAATACCAAGGATGATAGTTATGAGATTTTGGACGAGGTTTAGCTCCCAGCATTGAATATTCATGACATAACCATATATCACCTACACTGGAGGTACCTGACTTCCATCTTCTTGTACAACAGTACACTCACAGTGGCATTGAAATCTAGCAAGTTAGGAGGTGAACTTTTCATTTTTTCAGTAAGCTGCTCCAACTGAAATCATCAAGGGAAGACTTGGTACTTTTCCTGGTTACATGTGAGAGATAATGGTCAGCAGTTCCAGGTTTCTGTATACATAGGCTTCTAGACTGTTCATCAATCTGATATTTGGCACATTCTTTGATGCTACAAGTAGGTAGCGTCATAATAGGTTTTGCTATTGAGGCTGGAAAGTTTGTCTGCTGTGCAACCCTTGTTTAATTCAGTATTTGCATGTTCTGTCAACTAAATATAAAACAGAATGTTACTCTCTTAATATTGGTAAATATTTTCATTTTTATTTTTTCGCACGCATTGACAGGCAGTTTACAAGTGAAAACTTCCACACACAAAAAAAAACAACAATAAGAACCGTAAAAACAACTTAAATTTATTGTTATTAACGTCCTATTTCCGGCCCGATCGATCCCTTCCGTACATCTTACTCCCTGTGTGGAGGCTATGGTTTTCCTGTCAACCAATCAAAAAAATTGAATTGATCCATTCTCCTAGAGTTCATAATTTGGCAACCATACCGCTGACAAGGAGCCAAAATGACCCTGGGCTCAAGATTGACGAGTGCCAATGAACGTTGTTTTGTAATCCACTGTTGTAGATTTAATTCCCCCGGGTTTGAGATCTCCTAGGGAATAATTTAAGGTTACTTCCCACCTTCAGAGGCCGAAAAAATCGGTTTTTTTTAAAAAATGAATTAAGAGACATGTTACCTAAAGTGTACAAAAAAAATTCAAAAATCTAAAAAAAGCGTTCTACTTCCCCAGAAAGTTAAAAACGTATTTTCAAATACAAATTTATTAATTAGGAAGGTGTCATAATTTGTTTACATCGCGTACTTGACAAAATTCTCATTCAATGCATGCCTTGACAATCACGTGCTTTCCTTCCAAAACTGGATGATAAAGTCCATGTTATTTCTAGCCACTTTGATATAGTTTGTTTTGCTGTGAACTCTCTAAGGACAGCATCAGACTTCTTAATTGAATTATCAATGATACATTTCTGTCGTTTTGAAACCTGGAAATGAGAGCTTCCCCCGGTCACTTGTACAAGTTGCCGGTTTTCTCCGACGGAGTTAAACATGCGTAAGAATAAACGTCGTGATCTACAACACACGTGTCTACATCGTGAGACAAACGAAAACTTAGCTTTTATTGCTTAAGAATAAATTTCAAGTTAGGATGATATTGGACATTTACACGATTTTTTGCTGATGTTGCAATTCTTTAAAAATCTTTGTGTTTATTTCCTAACATCCATTTCGATTTCTATCTTATTTAAGCTGGATTACTACACTACAAATAAGAGGGAACTGCCTTTGTGACCAATAAATACCTCTATTTGTCCGCTGCGTAGGTGGCTGCGTCAGTATTGGTGCACCACTGGCGCAGGTCGGCAGCTTTTGTCCAGATAAGCGGAGTGGTCTTTATTCAGCTGGACTTGGACAAGCGCGTGTGAGTTTCGCGGTCCTGTGAACTCGGGTGACCACGGTGCACTTTAGGGGCGGGTGTTGTCGTTGCTTTTAGCTATCAATTATTTTCCATGGTTAATGGTAATCAGTGAAGCACAGCAATACTTGTTCTCTTTAGAATTTCTTGTTCAGGTCTCACCTTTCTTTTATGCTCCACTAGATTCTTTATCTGTACCTCTACTGTTTAACGAAATTAATATGACAGCAGTTTTAAAACTTTGTGAACAGAGCAACTCCCATCCCACCGCAAAAAACTGAATCCACAACATGTTAACTCACTGTCACTGTTGTTGTTATTGTTGTTGTTTTTTTTTTTTGCGGTAAACAGGTTGACATGCTCCTGCAGGAGAGTTACAGTGTGAAACCTCATATCCTGGCTTCACATGATCTGACATTAGCTATTTTGTGTTCCTAAAGGTAGGAATATAGCCAACTCTCTATAATCCCTACACAGATGTGGCTTGAAACAAACCCAACTTTGGAACAGGAGCCAGTTTTAATTTCAAATTTGATAGGCAAGAGGATGAAGACGCGCGGGGCGAGACACCGGAAGCTGGAGGTTTTTTTTTTCAATTCGCGCTCCTCTAGCTGCGCAAGCCTCGTCTCTTGCGCTTTCCTCTGCTCACCTGAAAAACTGAAAAGAAAAAAAAAAGGCGCCTGTTTCACTGAGTGAATGGATTTTTCTTACGCCACGGGTTAGGGTGGCACACCACTCTTTCAAAAGTTTACAGAGAACTTCGAAAAAATTTTCAAATAGGAAAGATGGTAAATTTGAGCTCGTCTTGTCTCTGTCTTATTCTGTTCACAAATATGACGCTTATCGTAATTGTCTGACTGTATGCGAGCCACATATGCATGGACCTCATGATAACTCATCGTCGAGTCTCTGTGGCTCAGTGGTAAAGCAGTTAAGCGCCAAATCCGAAGACGTTCGATTCCTCGTGGGGACAACTTCTTTGTCCCATGTTCGAGACGAGGCGAATGAACCTCTTTCTCCTCAAGCTTTCAATTTTTTATTTATTTATTTTGAATCAGTCTTAACTCTTAGGCCTATTGCAGCTCGATGCGCGATGCGGCTGATCACAAAGTTAACAAGAAGTAACTTATTTACTAAGACAATTTCGAAATGAGTCCTGAAAGATATTCTTTATTCATTACTGGGATCTACTGCTTTTAATTATGTTGTCTTTTGAATAACTCTTTTCAAGTGTCGAGTAGTTTCCTGGTCACGAAGTAGTTGCTAAAACTTGTTCAGTAGCTGCGGATTTGTTCCTTTTGCCACATGTCGATCAGCCACTCACAATAACTTGATTCTTGATCAGCTGGCTGAGCGTGCAAACAGAACTCAGCGCCAAATCTGTGACGTAGCATCTGATTATTGGCTGCATTTGTTCATCCATATTCATTAGAGGTTGTAAAATTTTCATCAAACCACGCTGTCTGTCGAAGAGTGAAGAAGTGCCGTCCGTTGTGCTAAACATAACGTTGTATTCTGGAAGGGAGAAGACACTGGACCTGTAAAAAAAGCAAC